TGGGGAGATCCAGTGCCCATCTTGTCACAATGCTCAGGAGACTCTCTTGCACACCCTGAGGAACTGCAGCGTGGCTAGGAGACTTTGGGGTAGGTGGTTTGAGGGTGCAATTCCAAGTAATTTTCTGGCAGCTGAGGGTATAAAGTGGTTCAGGCTCAATCTTTTCAAGCCTTTCTACACTCACCTTTGGCACTCTTGGGGGGAAATTTTCTTTGTCTCTTGTTGGTTTCTTTGGCAATGGAGAAATTCCACTGTGCACGACAGCCTGTTCTCTAGCCCCCTTGACCCTGTCAAGAGAATTCTTTGTTACCTGTCTGACATGAAAATTGCTACTGCCATTGATCCATTCCCTCTGGCTACTGATCCTTCCTATGGTCCAGTCAGTACAGGTTTTAGAGGATCTCTTGGAGATGCTAAAATTTTCGTGGATGGGGCTGTTAATCTGTCTACTCACCAGGGAGCTTGTGGAGGTTTAGTGTGTTCTTCTAAAGGAGATTGGCTAAGTGGTTTCTCTTTGAATTTAGGTACATGCACCCCTTTGGAAGCTGAACTGAGGGGCATTCTTCATGGTTTGAAACTTGCTGTCCAGTTAGATGCTAAATCTGTCTGGCTTGGGTGTGATAGTAAGGAGGCCATTTGCTGCTTGAAGGACAATGTTGAGCCTGGTGGTTTCACTTCTCTTATTGATAGCATAAAAAGAACATCTGAGATTCTGGACAGCTTTCAGTTGGAGTTCATTCCCAGGGATTTAAATGTTAATGCTGATTGTTTAGCTAAGTTAGGTCTCAACTGTAAAGGGGGTGAGTTGAGACTGTACTCCTCTCCCCCTGATAGCATTCTGCTTTCTTGGAATTCCTTTGTTGCTTCTTTTTTGTTGGAGCATGTAACCTTTAGCATGCATCAGCTTTCTGAGTAGTTTTTCTAGGCTAGGCCCTCCATTTATATAAAAAAAAATAAAATAAGGAAATGTTATATTTACAATTTTTTGTTTACAAACTCTTGCAAACTACATTAAGTACGGTTATACTTCAATCAAGAGTGTATGACCGGTCATACTCATACTCAGTGTAATTTGTAAAAAAAAGTTTGTAATTGGATCATTCAGTACTAATAATAGTGTTTTGTTTCTCTTACCACCGTACATCTAATATTTTGTTACTCGTTTGTGAAAAATATCAGTAGTTTTCAAAATTCAAAGGGCAAGATAGAGCTTGTAATTAATTAAACGTTAATTTCAGTACTACATAATGCTATCACAAAGGGAATTTATTCTCTTCTAAGCAGGTTTTCAAATATGTATTACTTAACATAGCTTCTGACATCAACATTATCTCCATATAGCAGTATATTAAAATGGCAACTGAAAGCAACTAACAAAGACTTCTTCTCTGTCATTGACCTCTTTTAGAAACTGACAACGGCTCCTTGCTCAAACAAAAACTACAACAAGCACAAGCATATCAATACTTTCAACTTATTTTCAACACACGACACCAGAAAGCTCTTGGTCTTTTTCAGTTCTTCTCTTTTGGTTCGTGTTTTCTTTTTTCCCTCCATCTTTCTTTACCCATCTTCAACATAGTGTGGTTTTGGAGTTTTTTTTTTTTTTTTTTTTTGTTTTACTTTTGTGACAGAAAAAATGGTTATTTTTCTTTTGTCATTGTTTTGCTGGTTATGCCACCAGATGCAGAGACTCAAAAGTTTTTTTGCAATTTTCAAATGCTACATGATACTGGGACCTTAGTTTTTTTTTTTTTTCCTTAAAGTTATAAAAAAATAAAAATAAATAGGGGTTCTTTTGTTTTCTCATATGAATGAGTAAGAAACTCATTGTTGGTATAGTATTTGTTTTTTGTTTTGCCATTTGGCTTGTTGGATCTTACAACCCTCTCATTGTGTGTGCAGATTACCATGGCTACCAATGGCAGAGTTGGCAAGAGAAAGAACCCAGATGAAGTGGCTGCTGATAGTATCTATGTTCCTTTCTCAATCAGGGGTCGGGTATTAATTTAAGGCTCTTTTTCCAATGATCTATTTTTCTTGATAATCCTTTCTTTGTTGCTCTTTTTTTTTTTCCTTTTTTTATAATCTATTGCTCGTTTAATTTCTAGTCTATAGTGATAATTAAAATAAAGCCTGCAAATGGTTATTCTAGAATTTAAACCTTTAAATGTATACTTTATTTTTTTTATTGACATTACTCATTATATTATATACCATATTTCTGCATTTATCAATTGTTGTGCCTTGTGTTTTGTGCAATTTTTTAGAATTTAAGATGTCTTAGGCTTGCTAGTGTTGTTTATAAACATGAAGTGTAGTTTTTATTAGGTTTCATGTTTTACATGAGAGATGTGTTGTAAAAGCAAAATACAATAGAAGGAAGAGTGATTTACTCAACTACAAAATATAAGACTACTACTAAGTATACCTTATAAGTTATAATATCAATAAAGGAATTGTTTTTGTTATGTTACATGATATAAAAGCAAATTTCCTACTCTCACAAAAGGAAGAGAGAGGAGAGAGAATAGGAAAAAGAGAAAAAATTTAAAGTGGGTCCTACATAAAATTTGTGTGTGTAGGAAAATGGGTTTATGTTATGTAACATAATAAAAACAATTCCCTATCAATAATGCCTTTCAAAATTTGAGTTTTCACCTTTCTTGTTCCCCTATTGTCTACAATTATGTTTCTCTTCATTCAACTGTAGGATGGGCGTCAGTTGTTCTTCAAGGTGAATCAAGACAACAAGTTAATTAGGGTATTCAGAGATTACTGTCACCGATTGAACCTGGAATTTGAGACCATGAATTTTTTATATGAAGGTTCTTATGTTAATGGGAAACGTCATACACCAAAAAAGGTTAGTTTCTTTCTTTATTTTTCATAACTTGCCACAGTTTTTTTTTTTTTGTCATTCTCTATTTTTTAATTTTATTTCAATAGTTACTGTTAAATATTTGGATCTTTTACTTATAGTTCCTTTTTTTATTTATTTAACTAACTTATAGTTCTGATTTTTGTATTAATGTAACTTGACTTCAGCTCAATATGAAAAATGGTGATGAGATCCTTGCCGCGAGACACCAAACTGGAGGTGGTGTTACAGCACTTCACTTTTAACAGGGATGATATGGCTCAGTAATTGGGATATTAGGAAATAGTTGTTATGTTACTTGGAAGTTTGTTTGTTTAACTGTTGTGGTAAGGGATCATAAAAGTAGCTACTTAAACATTTTGTTAAAAAGTTGAATGCTTAATTTGCCTCAAACTATTATCACTTTAATCAAATTTTATGATGGGTTTGTTTATGGTAAAAATATTTATCATTTTAAAGTATATAATTTTATGTTATTTTAAATGAAAGAATCGTTTTTTATATTTTTTCTCCTCCATTAAATTTGGAAGAAAGATAAAAAAGAAAATATTGATACAAATATATACCAAAACATGTCATTTCATTTAAAAGGATCCAAAAGTTGTCTCTTTTAAAATTACAAACATCCATTTTATATGTAATGATTTTGATTTTGATTTTTATTAAAAAAAGTTATTTCTTTTTTACCACCAAAATTAAAATAATTTAGATCCACTCCTATGTATGACTTATTAATACAAAATCACTTGCTCGGTTCATGAGTCATGGTGAGTCGAATTTAACTGTTTCAGATTGTCCAGATTGTTTTATAAGTTAAGTGGACTAAGTTTTATTATTTTAGGATTTTAAATGAACAAAGTTAAATAAAAGATGGGAAAAAGAAGAATAATGGTATAGGAAAATTGTTAGGTTACGTTATAGAGATAGGGATTCTGAGACTCACACTTGTTTCAAAAAATAAAACAAGTGTGACTCCCACAATCCCTATCTCTATAACATAACTTAACAACTTTCCTATAATATTATACTTTTATTTCCCATAAAAGATTACACTTTCTGAACAAGAAACAATACATTAGCTTCATGTAGAAATATATAAATTGAAAAAAAGGGTAATAGTTTTCTTATGTAGTAGAAGATAAGAGTTATCTTCTACACACTCATTAGTATAGGTGGGGTCCATTTTTAGGAAAAGAGAGAGAAAAAGTAAAGTGGGACCCATCTTGAATTTGTGTGTGTAGGAGATAGATTATATTTTATGCAACATAAGAATAATAAATTCCTTGAAAAAATGGTAAAATTACCATGAGAGGAAGTACGAAAAAATATAAAGTGTAGAGCAACCCATATAATTTGTTGAAATAATTAATTTTCATTATTCTGTTGCATTTATAATTTATTTCATATTTTATTATCTACTAAAAATAAAAATTCCTTGGAACTTGTTGGTTAAAATAAAATAAAAAAGTTACTCTAAAAAATTATTTATCAATATAAAATTCAATGTTTAAATGAGCAGAGTTTGAATTTAAATTATAGTTAAATGCATAAAATAATTTTTTTTATCTAGTTTATAAGCTAAACAAGTATCATCATGTGTTTTTTTTTTTGCGATTTTCTTTAGAATATAAAATAAATATTCTAAAGAAAATAAGTGAGACAAACATACACTAAATCCTTAAATTCAATTCACATTATTAAATGAACTCAATACAAAGAATTACTTATTAGCATAATTTAATCGAGAGGAAAGTTATACTTACAACATTTTTTTTTACAACATTTTACAATCATATCTTAATACCGTTGATTTCCGTCAATCAACGATTATTATTTTCGCAAATTAAACTCATTAATTAATTATTAATCACAATAAATAATAATCGTTGATTAGCAAAAATCAACGGTGTTAAAATATGATTGTAAGATGTAAAAAAAAATTGTAAGTAACTTTCCCCTTTAATCAATTCTAAAATACTAACACAATAATACTTATTAATTTTGTAAAATAGCAACTGATTCACACAGTAACTGAATTTGGGGATTAAATTTTAATGAGAGAATAATTTGAGAGTTGCTAGTTTAGCCATGTGCTAATAATGTCCATGGTTGATGTTCCCAATGCAATGCTTGTGATGCCTGGTGTTGTTTATCTCTCCCATTTGGGAATTCAATTATAGAAACCCTAAGACCTAATTGCTAATCACCGATCAAAATGGTGAAGAAAAAGGTCCCCGATTGGCTCAACAGCTCTCTTTGGTCAGCACCTACATCTCCTCCCTCCTCCTCCGTCGTCTCATCCCCAACCGAAGACCGCTCCGCCGTCATGAGCCCATCTGAACCGCCGCCGCGTCCTCCATCTCCTCCCATCATCCAAGATCCTCCAGAGACTCAGAGGATCGAAGATTCGCGAACCAATGATCACAGCGACGCCGTTTCTACCGCTGATGACATCTCTCGCCAGGCTCAATTATTGGCCGAGGTTAGGGTTCCGCCTCTTTCGTTGATTATTGCGTTTGTGAGTATTGCTTTTTTGTAATGGTTTGGTTGGTTTAGTTATCGAGAAAGGTGATAGATATGCGGGAGTTGCGGAGGCTCGCGTGTCAAGGTGTACCTGACGCTGCTGGGATACGTTCTACTGTGTGGAAGGTAAGGTTTCGTTTCTTCTTCATTCAATTTTTTGTGTTCTAAATTATTGTATTTAATGTCCTATATTTTTTTTTTATTGAAACTGGTTATTTCGTTAAATCCAGCTTAGGTGGTTGTTTCTGCCTTATTTATCTGTTTGTTTTCTGTTAGTGAATGGAATATCACGAGAAATGTTTTTGATGGAGTTGGAGTGGAATGTTCATTATTCCCGCGTTTTGTTTGGTATGGATATGAATGCAACGTTGAGTACTTTAGATTCCTTTGTTTCTAGTGTTAGAATTTATTTTAAAAAGAAAATAGAATGGAAAAGTAATTTATGATTTGTTTAGGAAAAATGGAACGGGGATTCCTTCACTTTTAGGATGGATACTTATTCCTAAAATTGGAGGGATGCCCATTCCCAACTCAAAGAGAAAGGTACCGAGAGAAAAGTGAGAAACCATTCTGAGAGAATGAGTGAAATGAATGTATTAACTACTGTTCCAATGAGGGAACAGAAACATATAGGTGATAAAACAGAAGCACAGCCTAGAAGCTTCTTACAGAACTGAATCTAACTAATCTGAATTCAGTTGTCACAACCTTTAAGCTAGTTTTCTACTTAACTTAATAGAGGGCTAGATTCATTGAACATTACAGTAGACTAACATTCATACATGTGTCTGTATTGACTCTATTACCAACCACCCATCCAAACATGCGAGTGACTTATTCTCATCCCCTTCAAACAAACAGGTCGTATTCCTTTATATGTCTATGTATAGGTCTGGTTTGGGTGATTTTAGTTAGTGCTGAATCTTTTCCTTTATGATGGAAAGAAGGAATTGAAATCAACGAATACTATCACAATTTATGCTTATTGATATCTGCAGCTTTTGCTTGGATATCTTCCACCAGATCGCGGGCTTTGGTCATCTGAATTAACAAAGAAGAGGTCCCAGTACAAACATTTCAAAGAGGATATTCTCATGAATCCTGTAAGTTAGCTGCTTGAGGAGCTCTTGTGCCTTAATGTTATCATCTCAGATAATTTGTTTTTGTTAAATTTTAAACAAGGGGTGTTGTTGTTTTGGGTGGGGGTTGGCCCGAAAGATGCCTTGATTGTGATAAGATCAATAATTGAAAACTTTCAGTGGTTGAACTAAAGCTGCAGAATCAAATTGCATTGTTTTTCACATCATCATACTGATTTCTACATCAAATTATGGCCAGTGGAAGAGAGATAATTCTAAGGAATCTGATGTCACATTAATTTTTGAAGTTGATCTGATTTTACTTGGTTCTTTGTGTGAAATTGATTGGGTCCATGTGTGTCCAATTGCAATCTTTGCTGAATTAGTTGTATTGTAATGTATTTTCTTTTTACGTTATCTATTTGGCTCTCTGAATGTTTCTGTGGGTAGCTAGTCAGAAATCACAAGAAGGATGTACAACTCCACAAGTTGTGATACTGATGATGCCAGATGTGAGAGTAGGGCCTTGCTTTCTAGATCAGAAATCCCTCATGGGGAGCATCCTCTGAGTCTTGGGAAGACCAGCGTATGGAATCAGTTCTTCCAGGTATCATGCAAAGTGCTCTCCTACATATCATTTTGAGAGAAAATCATTAGATACCTTTCAGCTTAAAACTGTATAAAAGTTACACTGCATTTGTTTTTTGTTATATACTTGTATTGTGAAGTGTGTGATTCTGCGTGAATCATGTTGCATACATTCCATCAAACTCGTCTAATGATGCATCAGTCCGTGATGCTTATCATTTCACTTGAATGGGTGACAACTTAAAACATTCTACTTGGAAGCTTTATTTGCCAAAGAAAAGGTGGATTGCTAATACACAATTGTTGTACCTGTAATGATAATTACGCATTATCTACTATGGGATAATTTTCTAAACTTTTAAACACTCTGTGTATGTCGTGATCTAATTGTACCAATAACAGAACATCTTTATGTTACTGGGCATAGCAAATTTGTTACCACATACTACTACCAATGATCTAGCTCCTGTTAATAATTTAATCTCTAATGAACTCTTAGGTTCATTACTGTATCACAACTATATAAATCTCATGCTAATGCACTATAATACTTTGGTATGCAAAGGCTGTTGTGAAGTAGACATTCCACTTTGCATTTTCAGGACACTGAAATCATAGATCAGATTGACCGAGATGTAAAGCGCACACATCCTGACATGCACTTTTTCTCTGGTGATTCTCAATTTGCAAAATCTAATCAGGTTGTTCCTTTATATGTCTTGAAATTTATACAAACTCCAAATTCAAGACTTTTTTTGGCATGAACCTTTTGATTTATTATTAATTTTTTTGGGCCATTTTCAGGGGGCTTTAAAGAACATATTAATTATTTTTGCGAAGTTAAACCCAGGTGTAAGATATGTTCAAGGGATGAATGAGATATTGGCTCCTCTATTTTATGTGTTCAAAAATGACCCTGATGAGGAAAATGCTGTGAGTATATGATATATTCTTGTGATCTTTTAAGTTTCGATCATGTATTCTATCACGGGATTGAATTAAGAAATTCTTGATTCCCTGTCTTTGCACTTGTTTGTAATCAATTACAGTCCCCTTAGTATATTCATTTAAAAGTAATTGTGTTGTGTAAAGACTAATTGATTTAAATATCATATTTTCGTGAATAACTGTTTTCTTTTTAACTTGATTTTGCAAATTCTATTCTAATAGCCGGTCTGGCACATTTTTTTTAAGCTAAAAGCTACTTTTAAGCTATAGTTTAAAAAAAAGAGCTTAAAAAATAAAGGTAAAAACTGATTGATAATTATGTCAAGTTGTTCTTGGGATTATGAAGGAAGGGAGATGAAGTAATTTGTTATTAGGATACATTATTAGGGTAAATCATAAAATTTAGGGAAAAGTTCAAACCCCCCCCCCCCCCCCCCCCCACAATGGTTTCCCTTTGAATCACTTAGCCCCCTATCCATATGCTCTATTTTTTATCACTTACTCCGCTATGGTTTTTTCCATCCAAGTCCTCAACACTTTTAAATTTTTTTATAAATCTATCTATTCTACCTTTTATTTATGTTGCTCCTCAAGTTTTGCAAGGGTTCCTAAATTCTAACAATACAACCAAAATTTTGTTCTTTATCCGGTTTTTGAAAAAAAATTGTGAAGTGCCACATGACATGTGATAAGAACATAAAAAACAGTTGCAATGAGATTTTAACCAAAGTGATTTTTATTAATTTTTACAAAAAACAGCCAAATTCCAATCACTAGAAGCCAAAACTGCAGATTTACTTGATGAATTTATCCCATATATCATTTTGTAGTCAGACAATGGTCAAGCAGAAAGGCTTTTTAGTTTCTTGTCTTGAAAATAATTTTCCGTTTTTAATGTTGAGACCAATTCTTTGTAAAGGTTAAAAGACACCATACTTATTAATCTCGGATAGCGGCGCGTAGCGGCTAACCCTCCAAACTGCTACAACGCTACTGTGCAAAGTGTACCTAAGTGATACACTAAATTGTACTCCACAAATATAAAACTTAAAATATGAAAATGTGACTTAAAAAACAAATTTGAAGGATCTCAAACTCAAACATAAATGATTTCAAACATTAAAATTCAAATCATAAGCAAATTGAAGGAGTAACACAACAAAATAAAGTGGCGAAATTAGTCAAAAGTCAAACTACCACTTAAGTGAAATGTCAAAATCAAAGAACTTAAGAAACTAATCATAATTGAAATCATGAACATCTAAATCTTCATCTTCACTTTCACTTGTATCTAAGTTGTAAATCTCTTCCTTCTACGACGAGAACACTTTTGCAGAAACTACTGTAGCGGTGTAGCAATAGCGCCGCGATTCAGCCGCAATAGCAGCCACTACATCCGCTACACTTCTCCTGACCGTCGCGGTGCAGTCTGTTGCGATCGGCCGCTACACCGCAACGCAACTCCGCTATAGCGCGCTAAAGCGGGGCTATTCACAAGTATGAAAGACACTAAGAGCACTCTGTATTGGGATAGGTTTTGTGCTCACTTTCAGTTATGTGACATTGACCATTGTACCTTGCTTCTTAGATGTCGTCATTATGTGTTAAACACCTCTTACTCTTATTTATATGGTTTAATAATTCAGCACAAAGGGAACTTGTTTTATACTGTATTTAACCTTGCATTGGTATACTCTTTTGGCCTTTGGCATTTGGCTCTTTTTGTAAATTTTATTTTTAATAAAAATCACTTTCGTTAAAATCTTATTCCAACTGTTTTTTATGTTCCTATCACCAGTCATGTGGCACTTCACAAATTTTTTTAGAAACTGGATAATGAAAGAAAATATGATTGTATTGTTAGAAACCCTTACAAAGTTTGAGGAGCAAGATGATATAAAGGGTAGAATAACCTGACTTATCAAATTTTTAACAGTGTTAAGTAAGGACTTTGATGGAAAAAATCATAGGGGAGTAAGTGATAAAAAAACATAGGGTGGGTAAGTGATTCAAAGGGAAACCATAAGGGTTTTTTTGAACTTTTCCCTAAAACTTATAAACAAAAGTTTAGAATAAGGGTAAAATTGGAAAATAAATGTAAGAACTCCAAAAAACTGACATACATCTTAAAACCTCTTTCTAGGAGCTTTTAGCTTTTCCTTTTTTTTTCTTCGTTACAGAAAAAAGCTCTTTGTATGATAAGAGCTTTTGTACAATTATGTTTGGCTAAGCTTCTGCTTATAATGAGAAGAGAAACTAAAAATAACAACTTCCAAACAGGCACTAAGAATTGCTTACCCATGATAAGCCAATCACCTTTCCTTTCTCATTCTGATCAGATGCACCTTGCAAATCTGTCGGCTTTTACCCTTCCTACTTATACATTCTAAAAGGTTTATGTTTCCTCATTGAACTGGGTGATATCTCCCAGTGTATGCTTTAATAGAAGGGCTAGCTGGGCTGGGGGAAGGCCAATCAAATTTCATGCGGGAACAGGAATTGAGACAATAGCATTGCCCTGTACAAAAAATAGAAAATGAAAATATGTGAAATAATTAACTTGACCATGAGAAGTTGATTTTGTTGCCAAGAAATTGCTTAGATTGTGATGATGATGGAGTGATGTAGAATCATATTACTGTCATATTCTATTATATTATTGATTAATCAGAATAATATTTTTGCAGTTACTGCAAATAAGTTATCTGCATTTATTTCCAAAACGACGTCGTTTTGGGATTAAAAAATTAAATAATTATAATTATAAAGACTATAATAACCCTGAAATAAATTAAAATTACAAAAACATCATGATTTTCACCCAAAACGACATCGTATTAGACTTACTGCAGATAACTTATCTACAGTAACTGTAGAAAAAGCGAACCCTTGATTAATTGTGCTCAACAGTTCCCTATTACAATATGCAGGCCTTCGCCGAAGCAGATGCATTCTTTTGTTTTGTTGAGCTATTGAGTGGGTTCCGTGATAACTTTGTTCAACAACTTGACAATAGTGTTGTGGGAATCCGTTCAACTATTACAAGATTGTCCCAGCTTTTGAGAGAACATGATGAAGAGCTGTGGCGTCATCTTGAGGTCACTTCTAAAGTAAGACAGTTTTTAATATATAATCTATCTTCTGATTCTTCTCACAGTTTTCCTTTTAGTTTAAATTTAAAAATAGTAGAGCAGGTTAGCATCTGTGTTAAACTCTCTTAATTCTTGATATTACAGTCAGCTATTAATAATTTGTTTGCACTCTGCAATATCTACTTAATGCACTTGTTTGGCCACTGTCTATTGCTTTGTTAAGTTTATTAAATAAACTGAATAATAAATAAACAAAATTGAGTGGCTCCTTCCTGTTTCATTGTTTTAGGTATATGACCTTCTCTATGTTAAATTTGTTATTTTGGGCATTATTTTTCGCCTGTTTATACTGTTTTGTGTTTCTCTACCAGTTAAGTTACAGACCCTTCTGCATACTTGCCAGTTAATTCAACCATTTATTTGCTTTTGGCTATTGAACAGTTTATACTCATTTTTTCTGGTTCTAAATGTCAGGTTAATCCCCAGTTCTATGCATTTAGGTGGATTACTCTCCTTTTGACTCAGGAATTCAATTTTGCTGACAGTCTTCACATTTGGGACACTCTTTTAGGTGATCCAGAGGGTCCACAGGTACATTGTCTTTCTCTCTTTATTTTTTTGGGTAATTTCCACAGGTACAATTTTGTTCCTATTCACCTTGTACCATACTAGACTGGCGCGAGTTGCATGCATGCGGGCGTACAACACGATATATTATACAGAAATATAAAACAGAAAAAATAAATTAATTAAATCATGAGATAAATATGATTTTCATAATGTTTTAACTCAATTAAGCAAAAATATAAAAAAGGCACAAGTTTTGAAGGGAGTCAAGTAGCAAGGCAAACCAGTTAATAACAAAATTTGGTGTTTTACATGGACTGACTTGTACTTGAATAATAAGTGAGTATGGATACGTACTACAACAACCGTTTAGGAGTTCCCATGCATCATAAGGACTGGCATTTAGCCTTATTGATCCACTGTTACTTTGATGACAATAACAAGAGGTGATATTGGATTTGAAGTTGTGAAGTTACTTTTAGATAGAAAATATATAATTACTTTTGGGAAAAATAAGGGAAAGGGTTTGGCTTTACATGAGTAAAGTGCAAGTTAGCAACCAACTCATTAACGAGAAAATCAAGTCAGTTTTATCAACTATATTTTTTACTATCATGTTGCTTATAGAGTTCAGTTGTTGGTTTTTTTTTATCGTAGGGATCCACTTTAAACTTTATAATTTTATTAATTTTTTAGTTTCCCAACTGGTTTATGCTCCGGACTACATCCAGTTCGAGCATTTGTCGGATCCTATTAAAGGGGACAGTTCTCCCAAATCTTTTTTTCCAGGGCTCGAACTCGAAAACTCTGGTTACCACTTTAAAGTGCACTATATCCACTGTAGAGGATCTGAATCATAAGGGAAAGATGATGATTCATCATGGCAGATGGTTAGTTATATTAATAGAACATTAGATCATGTCGAAGTTCATCCATTTTACTTTGTGCTTGAGAGTGTTAAAAGTCGCTTGCTTTTGGTGACTGTTGCTTGCTACTTTAAATTACTGTTGTTTCTCAAACTCTATTAGAACTGAGAATGGTAGATCAGGAGGTTAAAGAACTTGGGTATTCTGTTTACAGTTCTTTTATAAAGTGGAAATATAGGAAAACTAACACGATTCTACTCTGTAGGAGACTCTTCTCCGGGTATGCTGTGCAATGCTAATCCTCATTCGCAAGCGCCTCCTAGCGGGTGATTTCACTTCTAATCTCAAGTTGCTGCAAAATTATCCCACCACAAACATTAGTCATTTGCTCTACGTTGCCAATAAGTTTCGTGTACAGTCTGTCTAATGGTTCTCGTCCCTCTTTTTTTTTTGCATTTTGCTTTCGCATCTCTAATTTAGTGTTTGAAGTTCAATGCTTGTAGATGACTCTAAATGTCAGGCTCAGAGCAGCAACTATTTATTATTTATTTATTTAACACTTATTTTTATACTTTTTTTTTTAGGGTTTTTTTCAATGTGAGCTTGGTGAAATATGCCTATATTCGCTTCTGTCTACTCTTCAACTGAGACATTAGATAAAATTATGACATGAAATTAAAGAAAAAATGCGTTATATAAAAGTTTTAATCGTGCAAGTAACGATAGTATTGTAAAATTGTGCCACCATTTCAAATGTTAAGTCTGACATTAGTACTTCTGTAAAATGAAGACACTCTGATAGTGCAAAAATTGAAAAGCATAATGCATCCTTCAGTTTTGTATAAGTTCGATCATCCTGCTGCCGAGACTTTTAGGTTGCTCTGTTTTATACGATGGAAACAAAGGATTCAAAATCTGTAAGATCTAGTGAAGTTCTTACTTGATGTTGTAGCGGGATTGAATTCCTGTAATAAAATGCTACAACGCGTTAAGTATTTCTGTATTCAGAATTTTTATATCATTAATCTATTGTTCTTTCTACTTGTGGGTTTAACTTTCATCAGGTCATGTGTGAATAAAAAAGTATAATTTTTTTGGGAGAGATTATATTTATAATATCTTTTCTCATACAAAGTTAGAGGGTGATTATATTTACTAACATTTTAATTTTACTATTCTTACAACATATTTGATTATTGTTGGACAATTTAAAATTAATAATAATTATTTTTTTTCCTCTTTTTCAATTGTTAATTTCAAATTGATCCAATGATAAGTAAATAAGTAGTAAAAGACTAAAAGTGACAAGATTAAAATGGTGATAAACATAACATTCTCCACAAAATTAATGTTTACAAAATGACAATGACATTAAGTGAGAATTTTCTTCTAAATTTTTTAAGTAATATATATATAGTTTTAGAGCTCGACTTATATATATATTACCTAAAAAATTTATATATATAGTTTTAGAGCTCGACCCGATACCGAATGGGTGCAGCTCAGTTGGTAATTTGGCGCTGAGTTAGTGGGGTTGGACATGTGTTCGATTCCTGCTGAATGCATTCTTGGGGAGGGGGCTGAACCTTTAGCCATCACTGCTCCCCCGCACTCCGAATTAGTCCCATAGCCGGCTCAAAGAGTCGAAGCTCATGGGGATACCGGAGGGAGCCAACTCGCCTCAAAGAGGTAATTAGAGTTGAGTAACTCCAAAAAAGAGCTCGACCCGATTATTATTGGAGTTGATTACGTGGTGCATTCTTTTTTTTCAAGGATAATAGTTCATAATTTTTACACGTGACATTATTGGCAAGACATGACTTGTGCTTTAATTATCCAAAAATAAAATAACTTGTGTTTTATATGGAGTATTAATATAAAAGAAACTATCTTATAAGAATTAGATGAGCAACTCTGATTATTAGATCATATATTTGTAATCATGGTTAAAATTTATAATTACGTAAATCTTTCAAAGTGATGATTTTGGCTGTGGAGTTAATTTGATGAATATATAGCAAGTAACATCTTCGGAATATATAATATAACGTTAAATTAATAAATATAATTATAAAAGGTATCTATGAAATCACTGAAAAAAAAAACTTGTGTATAAATCTCGATTTATCAACGTGATTTTACGTTTTTACGATTTTTTTTCATCAAAATGATTTTATTAATATTCCAAATATTTTTATGATTTTTTACAATTTTTTTACCTTATAATTTTACGTTTTATGATTTTTAATCCCCTTCTGATTTTACTTAAGATCTCGATTTTAACAGCAACGAGCCATCATTTGTGTCATAATAATTTCACGTTGTAAAATCTGTTGATATTTCGGAGTTTATAGGAAACTGTAAATTATTTTTATCTTTATTATAAAAAATAAAAGAGTAAATTTTTATTTTGGTCATGAAAAGATATATTAAATATCACATTGATTATTTTATTCATAGACATTGTCAAATAGGCCAATAAGAATGAGTTAATAGTGAATAACTTGGGTAATTTACATCTGCTCATAACTTCAAACATGTCTATTAAAATCTAATTTGATAACATAAATTGAAATTATTATAACTTTAGCAGTGTAAGCTCATAACACTTGTATCAATTAAAAAACACATTTTCTCTAAAATAAAATTCTTATTTTGATTCATCTTCCAAAAAAAATAAAATAAAAATCTCATTTTAATTATTTTTTTGGGGATTCTTGATAATTTAATTGAAGCAAACAGTAAGAACTAATGTAGTAGTAGCAGTTGAAAATTCAGAAATCCTTTTTGAGCATTAATTTGAAGGTTAGTGGTGATACTTTTCGGATCCCCAAGATCGGAAGGAGTAGACTTGCTTTAACCGCTTTTTCTTTCTTTCTTTATTTCAGTCATTCACTTAATCCTCGCTTGCAATCTACGACTACGACAACTTTTCGATCACTGATTTCGAAGCGAAGCGTTTATTTTTTTTTATTTTTTTTTCAGATTCAGACCTAAACTCTATGGTAATGAATCCCTCTTAGTCTTAACGCAGTTCAATTCTTCACCATTCAATTTTCTAATCAAAGTTTTTCAGGCCAACACATTACGGTTATACTTGACCTGCATTCGGAACACACTCGAAGCCGCAATGTGCCTCCAGGTAGTTTTTGTTACTCTTTAACATGAATTTCAATTTTGTTTGTTTTATTTTGGATCCAATTATGTATGCTCTTCGCGATGCTTAACAGAACTTCCCTTGTCAAGAAGTTGAAAGGCATAACAAGCCTGAGGTTGAACTCAAGTATGCTCTCTCTCTCACTCACTCCTTATTATGTACATTTAATTCATAGAAAACTGAAAAAAATTAAAAAATTAAAATCTTAACATTTATGAAATTTTATGTTTGAAATAAGCTAAAGGTTGATGCAAATCCTACTTATACCACCCAACGGTGGTGTGTAGCTCACTTGGCAAGTCCGAGTAGAGTGAGGAGAGAACCTGGATTTGATTTCCGCTAAATAAAAATTTTGAGAGAGGCTATAAGCTTTAACTGTGATTAAGTCCCGATTCGGGATTAGTCTTATAGCGGGCTCAAAAAGTTGAAGTTTGTGGAGATATCCATGAGGCCAACTCGCCTCAAAAAGGTAATTAGGTTCGGTTTAAAAAAAACAAAATCCTACTTAGACCTTTTTTACTACTCCACATTCAAAATAGGGTCGCACTCCCTTGCAAATTCATGATGTTCTTCTTATAATAATTATTTCTGTATCGAGGTTGTAAATTTCGTTGGTTTATGTGCAGGACCAGCCCTGAACTCCTGCTCAATCCCGTAAGATCCATCTTATTATATATCACTATAAGAGTAGTTTCTACTTAAAATTTCCCTAGTTTCTTTCCTATTCATGCTAACCGGTGATTATATGTAAGAAAAGCAAACATGTGCTATATACCTTGCTTTTGCAAGAGGCTAATTACATGAATTGAATATGTGACTTTCGAGTCACATAGTGACAACGCTAACCATTCTATGATTCAAGATTATGTAGCTCTAAATTTGTTACGGGACTGGGGTTGTGTTTATGGCTTTCCTCTGGTGTGGACTGCTCAGGCCTATTTCAAGGGAGTTGTTATTTTTTATATACAGAGACTGAGCAGCTTTGATGCATTATTGAGTCTTTTTTTGTTTTCCTTGTTGCTTTTGGTTTTTTCTTTTGTGGAGGACAAGTATCCTTCATCTAATTTTGTTTTCCCTCTTTTCTCTCTAATATTATTTTTCAAATAACAAATTACATAACACTAAAATCAGGCCATTGTGAAATTTTTTTACTTGGCTTTGTTGCTCCATTTTCGTTTTCTAGCTTCCATGCACTCATGCAGCAAGTTCCTGAATGTGTATCATATTGGTTGGTGAATTGCTAAAATTCTAATTGATCTTTCATTTTCTTGTCCTTAGCCTTGGAATAGTGGTTAGGTTGCTCCTTTGTGACCATAAGGTTTTCGGTTCGAGTCTGACAAACAATCCCTTTGCAAAAATACAAAGGTAAGGCTACATACAATCCATCCTCACCCCTACCCTTGCAAAGTTGGGGAGCTTTGTGCACTGAGTGTTTTCCCTTTCATTTCCTTGTCTTTCTTAGTACTTTATAAGCTTGATGAAAATGAAATGTCTGGGTGCAAGACATTCTGAGTGGCAACTGGTTAATAGAAGCTTTGGCGGTAGGCTAAGGTTCCAGAGGTGAGACAAGGCCAAGAAAGCAAATGATTATTTTCATTTCAGTCTTTTATGTTAAGAATGAGACTGATGTTCTACTTCTGTTTCTTCAGACCTTCATTCTTCAAAGTTCAAACCCAGTAGTATTAAGGATTCTGGAGTCTGGCTTTTCTATAATTTGGGATACTTCACTACCAAACTTTGGTTTGATAACCTTGTTCATACCCATGGTGTTTATTGACTCTGTTCATTCCTTTCGGTCATTTTCTTGGAATTATGAGGCCCTTTCAAAGGCCAAGGCTCAGAGCTTATGTTTGGGAAGTGTTGCACAATCAAGTTGTTGAGAATAGCTTTTGACGGATTAGAAGGCCACATAAAATGTCCTTTCTTTATATCTTTTTGAAATGCATCAGTAGCTTGGAGATGCATAACTATCTGTTTCTGCAGAGGTTAATGGCTTGGAAATTGTGGTGCAGATAGCTTGCCTTAGTTGGAAAGAGTGGATTTGTGCTTCAACAATTGAGTTGGTGTTATGATGACTAGTTTTACATATTCCAATTGGAAGGAAAGTGATAGGATCTTCAATTCAAACAGAAAATAAAAGGAACACAGAGCAATTCCTGGATAAACCAGATTTTATATATTTAAAGTATAAAGGAAGATTACAGAAGTACAAAAATGGCAAGAAATTAAGAAGGTAAATGGCAGAAAGAAATTACAGAAAATGGATACAATTTGAGAGGCACCCTTCTCTCCCAAGTTCTTAGCAAATCCCAACTTTCCCAGATGATGAGACCCTTCCATGCTGTCTCTACTTATCCTCCATTCTTTGCGTCACATTCCAAATCCCTAACTGAATCTGTTGAGCCTTCTTTCTGGAATATTCTTGGCTACCTGCTGTCTCAGCATCATTTTCCAACCCCGTATATTTCTTACGTGAACGAATCTTAAGGGTTGAGCCCGTAATACATAACCGTAACAAATTAACAAAGTTTATCGGCACTGTGTTATGCTCTCTAAACGCTCTTTTTTTGTTTTTGGATTGAGAGGAATGTTGCACTCATAGACACACCGTACACCCCCACATTTTCCTTGTGATGGAGGCTTCATGGAATTTTATAATGCTTGCTTATGAAGACATTGCAATTTGCTCTCAAAGCATCTATCATCTGAAAGGAAAAAAAAGAACAATATGAGACTTATTTCAAAACTGGGATACGAAAAAAAAAATGCAAGAAAACAATACTTCTACCAATAGGAACTAAATAGATGTGTTTTTGTGTTCTTGATATCTTTGTATTTAATTGTGGAATACTGGAATGGGCCCACATGAGTCTTGAAATTCCTCAACCATGCCTTCAGCAGGGACAATTGACAACAGAGAGAGAGAGAGAGAGAGAGAGAGAGAGAGAGAGAGAGAGAGAGAGAAGGGGTTGGGGGGAGGGGAATGTGCAAGAAACGAAGATATCACCAGAAAGAAAAGTCAGGGTGCAAATCCTGCTAAAAATTAAAATGTGTTTTAGTTTTTTCTTTTGGGATAGAAGATATTATTAGAATGCAAAGACAGGATGTACATCTTGGGGGGAGGGGGGTGGATAAGAAATCCTGTTTTAGAAGAGAGAGAGAGATGAAAACAAAAGCAGAAGTGGTCATAAAATTTACCAAAGCTTTCTAATCCCTTGAAACAGGTGTGTGAACAGATAAACATCCCTTAAATTTGGCATTCCTCCCCATTCAAAAACAACGGAGAACTGCATATGCAACACACTATCATAAAGTCAGTCTCCTTATCTTTTCCAAAACCTTTGAAACATATCATGAGAAACTGCTCCTAGACAAAAGGACACATCGAGTGTTCCCCTAATATCTCAAACAGGTCATTCAATACTTTTACTTTACAATGCAAGAATAAGTGAACTGTTTCTGAATAGTTGAAAATAGATAGTTTAGATGTAAGCAAGATTTAAGAGAGCCCATACAATTATTTATAGTAAAAATTTCTGTCCAGCTTCCCATTGCGCACAGTGAGATTAATATTTTATGGATAATGGACAATACAGGAAGTAAAATTACTAAGCACAAGCAGGCTAAGATCTGGTGACAGAGGCTGATGCCTTTCTATCATATTCTTTCATGTTAAATGGATTAGAGGAAAATACCGTGGCTAGTATTGATGTTCAAAGCATTTTATAGAGTTTCAAAGATTAAGTTTCTTTTATACTACCTTGCTAAATGATTTATACTTCAAAGCAATTATTATTTTTGCATCAATGCTTCATAGGAAAATGTGTGCAATTGTTGTTACAGGTTTTGATATGCCGAAATGAGGCTGAAAAATGCTTAATAGAAACATCTATTAATTCATTGCGGATAAGTCTTAAGGTAACTTTTTTCTTCTTTTGTGAAACTTTTCTTATAATGTTTTGTTTAGATGTTCTAAAATTGAGTTTCTGCAATAGGATGACTAGTTCCCTGAGTTATGGGCTACTAAATTGGTAGTGTTTCTTTAAGATATGAACCCTCCATTCAGGCTCAGGATATTTTTCACCAATTTATGATTTTTCTTTACACATTCTATTTTTTTATTGTAGGTTTCCTTTTTATAGTTTCTGTTGTCGTACTACATGTTAATAATTTATAAGTTTTGTTGGTAAAAGTTAGTATAAAGTATATGCCTGATTGTGGATCTCTACGTAAAACTCCAGATTGTGGTAATGTACTGTCTGTACCTTTCGCAAGTATTGAAATATGTTAATGCACTCAGTTAACTTCCCCGAGAATGGATAGGTAGACTAGAGATGGTGAGTAGAGTGTAGCAAAAATAAGAGAAAAAAATAGTTGCACAGTGCTTAGATGGACAACCGATCAGGTGGTTGAATGGAACTGAGATGCAGGCACTTGGACAATTGTGCATGTAAACTTTATGCAACTGGCACCAGTCCAAAAATATGCTAAAGAAATTTCAATATTATACCTTTACTTTTTGGGTTAGGACTGATAATCTTCGAAATTTCAATATGCAAGGCCAATATATGATGAGCAATTCAAATGAATGTTATAGGGTTTTGCTAGAGTAAGTTGTCTATATTCTATTAAAAAGTTAGATTGAACCTTTTTTTATCACTTTAGAATTATAAATTTACTGAATAGAGTCATCATCATCAACATTATTATTATTATTTTTAGAGTTGTCATCTTTCCTTTGATAATATTTGATAGGAGCTGGGTGTCATTTCTTAGGCATCATTTAGTTAGATATATGTGTTATGTAAGATCCATTTTCAGAAGTCCTAGTGACAGTAATAGGTGTAAGTCTATGAAATTTCTTCTTTGGTTAAATAAATTCAGATTTGAGCATTTAGATGATAAGAATGTTAAATGTTCATCAATTGGATTGTTCATTTAAATAGAAAGTGGAGCAGTGAATGGTTCAATGATCATGCTGGGGTTGAATTGTGGTCTAATCAGAGTTTTTAATATAGCGATAGGTTATTTTACCTACTTTTTTTTTCATGCTACCTTACCTACCACTCTTAACATCATTTACATGAGAATCTCAATTAACCTTTATCATTTATCTCTCCTCTTGAGATTCTGATTTAATGGTGTTTGAAAGTTGTAGGTATGAAAAAAATGTAGGTAGAATAATTTATCCTTTTAATATAATATTTTTATTGAATATGTGTAATTTCTTTTGTAAAGAACCTTGGGATACACTACCCCAAAAGCTAGCTCAAAGGGTGGGAGTGCTCAAGGTCTTATAAACTCCACATTAGTTGCACATACAACCAATGTGGTACTATATATCTCAACACGCCCCCTCACACGAGAGCTCATTGGGCTTGAAGAGTGGACAATGCAACAGGCCCAGCCTACCTGTGCTAAGAAACGCCACAAGAGAAAGTGGGGGGCGGTGAGGCTCTGATACCATGTAAAGAACCTTGGGATACACCACCCCAAAAGCTAACTCAAAGGGTGGGAGTGCTCAAGGTCTTATAAACTCCACATTAGTTGCACATACAACCAATGTGGGACTATATATCTCAACACTTTTGATATTGAGATAATACATTCATCCTGTGGAGATAAGCTTTCTTGCATTCTCTACTTAAGCCAGAGCACTCGAATATATGCAAAGTAGCTTTAAATTGGCAACATATATTTTAATTTGACCTCAATTTATTGATGGTTATAAATTGTTTTAAAATTTAATTTTATTAGCAGATTAGCAAATTAATCTCTGAATGAGAATATGTTTCCAAGCATCAGATTCATATAGGAAATGTACCAATATTCATTATAATTTGTCCGTAATTCCTTATTTTGTTTCATCTTGTGCAGGTGAAGCAGGCTGATGAACTTGAAAACATACTGACCAAGAAATTTCTTAGATTTTTGTCAATGAGAGCTGAGGCTTTCCAAGTACTGAGGAGAAAGCCTGTGCAGGTTTATATCTCTTATTAGCCAATCAAACTAGTTTTTTTTTTCCCTTAAAAAAAAACATCGGCAACAGTGTCTGGTGATAATTTTTCTGATCAAATAATGTAATTTTTAGTTATTGATAGTGGACATCCATTGAGGATAGGTAGAAAGGCTGCAGGAAAGAGGGGTAAATTTATGTAAACATTCATTGAATGTTTTGACTATAAAAATCTTTGTTGATTCATAGATATTTGTGTATTGCGTTTTCCCAAGGTTGTGCTTGGTTGATGCCTTATCATTATTACAAAGGGTAGACAAAAGCATAGAACATGCACTCAATACTCTTGCTGTTCATTTCCTAAGCAGTGCTTGGTTGAAGAGGAGAAATAAAATTTTCTTCACACACAATTCACTTGACAGGTGACAAAATGGGGACTTGCAAATAATTCTAGCATTTTATTTTTTTACCTTTCTACTCTGGCGGTCATTGTGTACAGAATATACTGCATGGTGTTTATTATAATTGATTTTTTAAATTAAGTATGCTGAATTATTTGCTTTCCAAACAATGTCTTGATCCTCATGTGGGACAATTATTACTGAAAGTCACAGCAATGCAGATGCAGTTTATTTTGAGCATGCTGTTAATAAATTTTGAATTTTTTTTCCATTCAATTGGTAGAAGACAAATTTCTTAATGACCATTAATGCCATATTTTTTGTTGCTTCTTTTGGCAGGGATATGACATCAGCTTCCTTATAACAAATTACCACTGTGAGGAGATGCAGAAGCAGAAACTCATAGATTTTATAGTGCAATTTATGGAGGCAAGAACTTTGTTGACCCTACAACTTGGATTTGCATTTAATTTCATGGCTTATAGTTTAATCTAAATTAGTGGTATTGTATCATGTAAAAGGGGGCGAACTGGAACAGTGGTAAAACTGTTCTTTCATGACTGAAAGATCATGAGTTCGAATCCAGGAAATAGCCTCTTTGCAATTATGCAAGAGTAAGGCTGCGTACAAGGATTTCCTCCACCCCACACTCGCTAGTCGGGTTTAACGGGGAGTGGTTTTTTAGTGGTATTGTATCATGTGATTATCAAAACTCTGAAATGTCATTTACCTGGATGCTATAAATTGTGTAGTAATTATTAGGACTTCTACTATTTATAAAACATTATATCACAATGGGGTGGCTTTCAAAATTGTTGGCAGTTTAGTAGTATAGTTAGTAATGGCTTTCAAATTTCAGGATATTGATAAAGAGATAAGCGAGCTCAAAATGTCGGTGAACACACGGGGGAGGCTCGTGGCTACAGAATTTTTGAAGCAGTTTATCTGATGCTTTAGATAGAACTACCAAATCTGTGTAAATTGTATTAATGCAGATCTAGTCCCACCTTACTTCTCAAGTGCTTGGCCCCTTGAGCCAATGGTTTGTGTTTTTATTAATTTTAACAGCAGTTTAGAATAATTTTTGTAGAGTTTACTACAGTATATGAAGAAAAATGCGACAAACATGTATGTCACGCGGAGAAAATGAAGCTTATATAAAAGCTAGCACATTTCTTATGGTTCCTCGCTTTAATAAAAATTGTTGAAAAAAACAGCCATTAAGTTCTTTTTTTTGATAAAATATATTCTTATCACGAAAATATTCAGTATCCGTATCGAATATGATATATATATATATATATATATATATATATATATATATATATATATATATAGGGTTTTATAAGAGTTATGTTGTAGGAAAAGTGATTGTGTTATGTTATAGAGATTCGTTTTGCGTGCCGAAGTTTTTTTTTTTTTTTTTGCTGCGGGTCCCACAAAATGTTGTGTGTGTAGGAAATTTTTTGTGGTCATGTTGAATGATAGATGATAAACCCATATATATATGAGTAGTATTATATAAACAACATTTGACAAATATTTTAATATTTTGAATTTATTCTTGAAGTTGTATAATATATCTAATCCAAACTTTTTCCCCCCATAAAACATGTTAGACATGTAATATTATTCTTATTGAAAAATACACCACATACAAAATAATAATCGTAGTTATTCAAACTCTAAGATGAAAAGTTACGCATTTTTAATTGGGATTTAACGGGGAATGGTAAATTGATCACTATACCTTTTTTTATTATTTATTTATTTTCACAAATGTGAGAAACTAAGAGGTATTTATGTTTCAAAAGATGAAAATTTTGATAGTTTGAAGATAGTTTGAAGTCCAGCTTTATCAAATGTTAACTTTTTCGGGTGAATCGAAAATAGAAGGAAAAATTAATTATTAAATAATTGTTATTAGCATTAAATTTGACATTTTGAATCGGAGGATTACATCATGATTCATGAACAAATAAAAATTATTTATGATGTTATTTAAATGATATTTTCAATAATTTTAAAAATTATTATAATAATACTATTAATGATCTAAATTATTATATTTTAATTATTATTTATCATATTAATAAATATTTACATAAAATAGAGATGAAAGAAATTTGAGCTTGAGTGCGAAGATGCTAATAAGTAATAACATATGCTGCTTACCCCAACAAATAAAAAATAAATAAATAAATAAATAACATATGCTAACTACGCGGGGTCAAGCATGTTCTATCTAGCTAAACTCCTTCCATGTTTATCTAAGATTGCCACATGGCAGCACAATCACTCTAGACTCCAAATTTAGAGAAAAACTTCACAGCGCTCTGTTTCATCGAAGATTCGGTGAAATGGTAATTCAAAGTAAAATTATAAATTATATATTTCGAAGAATAAATTATATATTTCGAAGAATATATAATTATTAATATTAAAAAAAAAATTCTCTCTTCAGAAAATATATTAAACTAATGTGTCATATATACCCCTAGTAGTGGGTTACACATGGGACGGAAGTACTGAAACTTTTTCCCTAAACTTGATACAACTTTATCAAATGAGTGAATAACTTGGTAATGTCATCAACTTGTAATTTCTTGAAAAAAAATAAATTTATCACAAGAGTAAAAGAGCAACCATTTGAGGGTAAATGTACAACATAATTTTATTTTTTTTAAATTTTAACTGTAAAATTACGAACAAAATCAACTGATTCTACTTTGTCCCGTCAACAAAAGGATAAAATAAAGTATGAATTTTAAAACATAGCAATTATAAAGCCTGATATATATATATATATATATATATATATATATATATATATATATATATATATATATATATATTTATCAAATAGTCATGATTGTTTGTGTGAGTTATAAAAATAAAGGAAAATTATTTGAATGACAATGTAAAACTTTCTTACATTGAAATTCAATTTTTTTTTCTTATATTATAGATGAATTTGAAAAAAAAAATGTATAGCACATGTTAGACTAAGTGTATGTATTTAACCAGTTAAACAAGAACAATTATTACAATGATAAGATACAAAGTGTCTGTTATCAAAAAAAAAGAAAAAAGAAGATACAAAGTGTCATAATTTGGCTGTAAATAAATATTACATTGTAACATGCCAATTGCTAAAATCTTACAAATCAATTAAAAAAAAGGTACAACACATGTTAAATGTATTAACCAGTTAAACGAGGACAATTGTCACAATAATTTGATACAAAGTGATAAAATTTGGTCGTAAATAATTATTATATTGTAACATGCCAATTGTTAAAATCTTAAAATCAATTAAAAAAAAGTACAACACATGTTAGCCTTAGTGCATGTCTTAACCAGCTAAACGAGAACAATTGTCATAATAATATAGTACAAAGTGTTAGAATCTGGCCGTAAATAAATATTACATTATCTCATGCCAATTGTTAAAATCTTACAAATTAATATCCATTTTATATAAACACAAGTAATTTAGTGCCTGTTTGGATCCTCTTTTTTTTAAGCTACAAGCTATTTATAAGCATAAGCTAGGCCAAAAAGGTTTTGGAAAAAGCTCTTATAACGAAAAGCTTTTTTTTTTATAATGAAGAAAAAAGCTGAAAACTAAAAGCTCCTAGGAGGAGCTTTTTTTAAGCTCTTATTTGTTTTTCTTGAATTGTGTGCTTTTTTTTAAAATGGAGAGTGATAAAGATAGAAAGAGATAATTTTCTTGAAATATGTGCTTTTAAGTAATTTTTAAGCTAAAACTTTTATGTAATTTCCAAACAGCTTTTAGCTTATTTTTTTAAGCTTTTTTTTTTTAGCTTTAGCTTATAAGTAGTTTCTAGCTTAAAAATAAGAGGATCCAAACAGGCTCTTAATATGCAAGTTGCCATAGAAATATACTTTAAATATGCATATAACATCTGATCATGTAGCTTGATTGGCAAATTGTGCTTTTGAACTATGTAGCATTGATACTGACACGGGACACGTGACACGATCCGACACGACAATCCGACGCGATAATTCTAAAAAATGTTAGATTTCGACACGTTAGGACACGTTTTGATATTAAATAATATTTTTAATTTATGTAGTATATATTATATTTAATATTCAATAATTTAACAAAAAAATGAGACTAAACTTATAATATTTATCAATTTTGCAAAGAAGATATCCAAATATTTATATTAAACTCAATAAAATGATAATCATAATCCAATGAATCTAATAGTTGAAACTAAAAACTCAACGGAATGCAGTCTTTGAACCTTTTTTTAAATTTCTATAATGCGTGTTGGAGTGTCGGAGAGTGTCGAGAAGTGTCGGACACGATACGTCAGGATTTTTGAAGTGTCGGTGCTTCATAGCTTTTGAAGTCATTTATTTTCATTTTAGAAAATATCTTAAAAAATCAAAATCAAGTTTTTTAAGTTTCATTATGTACAATAATAATAAAAACATAATTTCCAATATACTAATGATGGATCCATTTAAAAAATAATCACTAAGCTAATTGTGCAATTGTTAACCATCTTAAAACATATTTATTATTTTGAAGTCATTTATTTTTTATTTTGAAAAAGTATCATAAAAAATTGAAACCAAGATTTTTGAATTTGATTATGCACAATAATAATAAAAACATAATCTCCTATATACTAATGATGGATCCATTTAAAAATAATCACTAACCCTAATTGTGCAATTGTTAACAATCTTAAGAATAAAATAAGCCCCCAGTCTTATAAACCTCTGCTTAAACCTGTTTTATCATAAAAAAGACTGCTTATGCTTGAATATTGACTGTAGTAAGTAACTTCTTCGGAGAAAAACCACCTACAAAATTGAATAAAAATTTAATCAATATAATTGCGAGGCATTCTCTTCTCAATGTATTGAACTCAATTGTCAACATTATTTTTTATTTTCTTAATTAAGGTTTCCATATCTAGTTTCCAACAATATTTTGACTCGTAGAGCAATCTCATCAACCCGAGGTAATACTAGCAAAGATGTAGCATACATAGTTGACTCCGGACGAATATGAGAGAAAGGGGAGGAGATAGTTGAATCCGGACGTAGCATACATAGTTGAATCCACTATATAATGATTCACCATATTCGTACATTTCCATCATGGGAAGATGTAGCATACATAGTTGAATCCGGACGAAATCAAACTTCTGTGATGAAACTTGAATGTGAATCTTCAGTAATGAAAAATTGAGAAGATTCCTTGATCTAAACTGTAATATGTCATTATAAAAAACAATAAGCTTAAGCTCTAAATAATGGGTTGTCAAAAAATAAAAAACCAAACTTTGTCACATTGAACTACCATCCTCCCATGTCCAGCACATGCTAAAAATCTTCCGTCCTTTGAAAAAATTGCAGGACAAAAAAGACTCGCTTATGCTTTAATAATGACGGTGGCAAGTAACTTCTTCGAACCAAAAACCACCTACAAAATTTAATAAAGATTTAATCATTATAATTGCCAACATTCTTTTTTCAGTGTATTGAACTTAATTACCAACATTCTTTTTTATTTTCTTAATTAAGGTTTTCATATCTAGTTTCGAACAATTTTTTTTGCCTCCTAGAGCAATCTTAACCCGAAGTACTAGCAAAATTCAGTGTAAGCTCTTAGATAAGTTGTGCATAACGTAGACTCCTATGAACCCAAGATATGAATATTGCTTGTATGAGTCCACTATGTGATTACATTTCTATCTCAAATAATCACTTTCTAAAACTTTTAAAGGTCTTGTCCTAAGTGGGTGAGCTTTAATATACTTGATTCTAGTTACTGCACATAAGCCTGTTCCAATATAGTGAAGAAAAATGCAGTACCACATTTATACCGTGTATTTGAGGATATGTTTTTTTGGTGAGTCTGGATTCTGGAATATGGTAATCCCTTTCCAAAATAAAAAAATGGAAGAGATCTTTGATTTGCCTCCTGTTGAGTGCAACCAGCTACTTTTGAGAGACCAGATGGGAGTTAGAATGGTTTGACCTAGGCTTTTAGCTTGTCGTTGTGTTTGTTGTAACCTTTTTTTTATCCAAAAAAAATAAAAATGGGAGAGATTGTGAGGAAAAAATAAAAAAAGAAGTGATAGAAATGAAATAAAATTTTTTATTTATAAAAAAAGGACCACTGAATAAATAATAGGCATAGACCATAATAAATTTTTCCATATTTGAGGATTCCATTTTTTTTTATAATATATGATATTTATAATCAACTATTTGTGATTTGTAATTTGTAATTGTATGGTAGAATATGTGATGGCACACACCCTTTTTCCTGAGACGGCTTTTCCTTGCAGCCTGTGTTTTGAGCTAAACTTCTCAGTGTCTGAAAGCCAAACCAAACAAGAAAATCTTGACTCACCTCCCATGATGTAAAAACAAGATATGGCCAAAACTGTGACATGTTAAAATCTTTCAGTATATGCAGCCATATCATAGGGGTTCTGATTCTTTATACCATTTTTGCCAAACTTCTTGTAAAATTTAAGTATATTTAATTGTCGATGATCATGTGTTTAACGCCTTTAATTATGGGATGAAATGGAATTTGGACTTCTGACAGATTTATTTAGGCCGTGTTTAATTAGTGCTGAGAAAGAATTACAATTTACAGCAGATAACAATTTTATAGCCCAATGGTATCATTTTTGACTGGCTTCTTTGTATAATTTTGTAAGCAAAAAGTTTTTTATTAATTTTAAAATGTTTTAAATTTTTTATATCAATTCGATAATTTTAAAAAAATAAAAGACTTTAAACAATATCCTTTCCCATATTATAATATTATAATACTTTTTTTAAAAAATAATGATAGTATTTTTTTGAAAAATTTGATAAAAACGGTTATATCATAAAAAGACTTAAGGCCGGTTTAGATGAAACTTTTTTTAGCCAAAAATTAATTAATTTTTTTTTTAAAATAACACTTCTATTACAAAGTCCGTTTAGATATATGCTTTTAAAGAAAAAAGAAGCTAAAAGAAAATTCAATTTTTTTTTTAAATTAGTTTATGAAAAAAGTAAAAGCAAAACAAGATCCAGATATTTTTAAAAAAATCTAAATAGATTTAATTTTTATAAACGCATCCCTTTGTGTAAGCGATTTTGATTTAAGCTCTTTTATGTTAGTAGTTATTGAACTAAGCATTCAGACCCAAAACCCTCTTCTTATAAGCCCCATTCTTGCGTCGCTCCTTATTATTTCCCGCGAATGTACGGCCACCACAACCGTTTCCGCGGCGGCCCTCGACAGCCGCCGCCGCCGCCGCCGCCAGCGAGTGTCCCAAACCCTAATGTATTCTTCCAACCACAACCGTCTTTCTCTTCCCACAACCTCCATCTCCCAAACACTGCTTGGCCTTTACCATTCCAAAACCCTCTCGGTTTCACCCCTCACCACCAGCAGCAGCAGCAGCAGCCGCCATCGATTCCGCCCCCGCCACAACCGCAAAATCCCAAGCACGAAATCGATAGGGTCAATCGAGCTGCCGATAAGGCCTTCCGCCATCTTCTCGCTGCCGGCGACTCCGTCTCGGCGTGGAAGGTATCCCAGAATGCTCTTTTGACGCTCCAAGTTGACTCGTGGAACTCTTTGGGCATCAAAATGCAGCAAGTTCCCGTACTGCACTGCCTTATGATCACTGAAGGCAAGGTATATATTATCACTTTTTTTTTTTTTTGCTCAACTGGTTCATTTGTAAAATTTGTTAAAAAATATAATTAATTAATTAATTAATTAGTTTGAAGATATTTGATGTAAGAAAATAATTAGATTCAATAATGAATTCTATTTTAAAAAAAGGATTATTGTGTTTTGGTCGTTGTGCAGGTGAATGCTTTTATCCATTGTTTTGTTGGGGTTCGGAGAATCACTTCATTATATGATTTGGAAGTGGCGATTTGCAAGAATGAGTGTGTTGATAACTTTGAAGCACTTGGAATGGGACCTTTGTTGCGGCACCCATTAGTTATTCATTATTTCTCGATTCATTCAGATGTAACCCAAGTGTTTAAGATAACAAGCGAGGAGATAACTCAGTTGTTATGTGAATTAGATTCTTCTAAAAGAAAAGAAATCATAAGGGTTGATGAGTTTTTGGATTTTATTGCTAAGAAGCGATCGGTTAAGTGCAGGGAATGGCTTGGGATTCGAATTCAGAACTTGGGGTATGTTATGCCTTTTTCCTCTTTCCTTTTGTTGAAAGGTAGTTTGCATTGTATTAGAAAGAGGCAGAGAACTTAATAGACTGGAGATGTTTATGTGATAATGATCTGATGAACTCTCTTTACATATATGAATGGGACAAGAAATTTGACTTAATGTTAAACCAATGAGTGCAGTAACATTTCTTGACGAATTATATTCAGATGATATTTTATGTGGTGAATCACAATTTATTATTCATAGTATCAATATTGATTTAGGCATAATTTGTAAATGATTATTTTGTCTAGCTGATCCCTTGGAAGATTCTTCCATGCATGCACATGAACTAAGTTCAATTTAAGGAAAGCTGAGTGTATAGGATTATGTCACACTGAAGACATGGGTAGAAAGAGGAAGAGGGTTGTGGGCAGGTAGTTTATTTTAGAGTTGCATTTTTGAAGGTCAATTTGAGTTCAAATATTTTTTTCTTGGTTACTGAAATAAGTATGTCAGTGTATTTCCTAGATTCCAATTTTGTGGTGTATATGAAATATTTCTTTTTTGCTTGAACTTTTGGAAGACAGTTCAGAATAACCTCTCGAAGTTGCTTTGTGCTAGCTGATTTCTGCAAGCCCTTTTCTTAAAATTTACTCTTTATTTTTGTTAGTTTTAGCCTTTACTTTTTTAAGCAGTAGCTGGAACATGACTTTGTTGTAATATAATTATTAAACAAGAAATGCAGTTATTTGTGAACGAATAAAATTGCTTCTTTCTGGCCTTTCCCATTTTTGATTATCTTTGTTCGCCTCACATCTCTGTCAAGAATCATATTTGTATCTCTGTTTTCCCCCTTTATTTTCTGTGATTGAAGCCATTTTTGCCAGAATACTTTTCCATATTGAATGTAATTTTCTCACATGTAAGTTTTGGTTTTGAAGATAAAAAGCCTATGGACAATTCACCATGGCAATGAAGTAATATTAGCACACACCATCCATCTCCCCCCATCTCCCAATCACTTATAGAGGAGTGAAAAAACTGCTTTTATCTTGTCATGGTCTTGTTCTCTGTTCTCTGTTATATTTAAGTTTAGCATTTGTACTTGGATAGGCTTTCTTATCCAAATTACTGATTTTTATGATCACAGAATGCACATATCTGCCATACGGGAAGCAAGAAATTCAGAGGAATCAATTCTAGAGAAATGCTTGAAGACATTAAGATTGAAAAAAGAGAACTTCAGGAAGCGTCCTATTTCTTCCTCATATAAAAAACAGTTAGATGAACGTTTTAGTGCCATTGCTCAGCGTGTTGAGTCATTTTCTTCTGAAAATAAGTCTTTTTGTGGCAAGTATACAAGATTTAAGTCATCAAGCTCAGAAGATGAAGGTAGTGATTATTCTACGGATAATGATAAAAATAATAATATTATTACGGGTAGCTGGTCAAAGGCATCATCACAATTTGGCCAAAGTTCAGAACGAGTGAGTAGCTGTCCCTACCCATCTGCAACTGAAGAGATGGCACGACTTGGGGTGGGGGTTGATATGCAGGGACATTCCCTTGCCAATAGCAACCTTAAAAAAGGATTTATTGAGCCTCCAAAAAAAAAAAGAAAATCCGAAAATGTAACTTATTCCAAATCTGCTCCGTCCAAGTTGCTTAAGAAAAACAAAATTGAAGTTGATGTAACCCCAATTGAGAATGGTAACACAACCAAGGCAACAAGTAATGTGGATGAAGATCTTTCAATTGCTAATGATTCCTTGCAGTTGTTTGTATCAACCTGGAAGGAGGCATGTTGGGAGCACAATGTTGCCGAGGTGGGTATTTAAATCACTAAAATGAGATGATATAATATACTTTTTGTAACAATACTTCTTCCCCACCCCTTGCTGGAGATAGGTTCATTTTGTTGGTTTAGTTATTGCATAACAATTTTTGAGGATTTGACTTTATATGATGCGACATTGCTTTCTTATCTTTCATTTTTGGTAAATTACTAATCTCTCTTTGTATGTTTGAAATGTAGCCACATGGAAACTTACACAATATGATTTGTTATGCTTACTTGAATCTTGGTTTGTTTCAAAATCATATTGAGCTGAAACTTGAATAAATGTTCCCTTGTTTTTTGAGCTTAAGGGCTGTTATTTAGAAGCATTTCCATGGATGGAAGGTTGGCTCCTACTGCAACAACTAATTTGAGGAGGGAATATAAGAGCATACACTGTAATATGATACTGCCCTTGCCTAGAGTAACTACTGTTACTCAGTTATCTCTACTAACCCAGTCAGGATCAGTTAGACTTCTGTTAGTTCAGTTAGGCTTAGCTGACAGTCTGTTTCAGATTCTGTTATGCAGCTATACAGTTGTCTGCATCTCTAGCTTACACTACAAGCTTCTGTAACACTATATATATACCTTTAGAAAAAAATAAACATACACTGCTAATTGTTTATCTACATTTTCAGTTAGGATAGTCTCGAAGCTATTTTTTGATACTTGTTTTCAAATATGAGAAACATAGTTCTCAAATCACAATTAATATGTAGGTTTTGGAGAGGATGCTTCGATTCTATGAAGTAAAACCCGGGCACAGGAGGAAAATCAGAATGATGTGCTCATCATATCCTTTCATTGGGTTACTTAATACTGCTGTAAGCTTCTTTTTGTTGACTTACATTACTTTTGCATATGTAATTCAATCAATGTTTCTTCTTTTATGATGTATTAGTTAATCTTATAGTGTTTAGCATTTTAAATTTAGCCCTAACGTCTTTTTAACGTATGTTAAATCAATTGTCCCAATAGTTGACTCATTTTTGTTTGGTAAGTCTTAATTTGGCTCCATTTCCTCCCATCACATAGCCATAATTTGTTTCACACCTCGCTAATGCGACTTTTACTACTTTTTCCCCATACTTTTTTTAGTAGTGTTATTTTTACTTATTGTTACTTGTAATTTGAAGAAAGAATAAAATTCCAGTTTCAGAAATAGAGCAACTATACAGGATATGGCCTACTCCACTTACACTCACCAACACTCATACACACACGCCCGCAGACATGGATATATCTTTACTATTATAGAAAGGGAATTCTCTTATTTGGTGTCTTGCTTTTTGAAAATACCCAAGTCTGTTATTTTTTTTATTTTTTCTTCCTTTTTTGAATTAGAGTTTAGGCCTGTTGAGGGAGGGAAGGTTGCTCCATTCCAATAGGACTTGCCTCATGCCTTAGTGAGGGCTTCAATTGGTACTTACAGATGACCTACGAGTCAACTAAGATTTTGTTTTTTAGAAAATGAAGGACAAAATTGTTATTACCATCGTTTGGAGATTAGACTCTATTTAGCATTAGGTTAGAAGTTTGGCCTCTAAGATTGCCTGATTTTGGAACTAGTTGTTTGCAGTTTTTTTCAATCATTGTGTTTGGTCTACAATGATTGGAGGTCTTTTTCTTGATCAATTAGGTTATTTGGAGATGCTGGGTGCTATATTTTATTCTTATAAAAAAATTACCTTGCACTAAGGTCCTATATTAGAAACAAGTGAGAAGTATCAAGAAAGTGAGAGTTGAGAAAGCAAGAGAAAAGAGGAATCTGAAGGAAACTCATTGTATTGTGATTTGTGTAAAAATGAAACCTAACTCCAAAGATCTCAGATACAAACACTATATATAGGCATGCTGATGACTTAGCAATGAGACACACAACTAACTAACTAATCTAACAAATCAGTAACAAGCTAGAAAAGTTATCAAATGCGGATTGCGGCATGTTGCGGCCAACCCCGAAAAATGCTATAGCGTTATAGCAGATTGCGGAAATAGCGGAATAGATATATGACAAAAATAATGACAAAAAGAAACATTTTTTAAAGGCAGAGATAGCAGAAGTGTCAGAGAGAGACACAGGAAGACTAAAAAACCCTTAAAATTTTTCTGTTACACATTTAAATTTAGGACAAATTTGACATTTTGCCTTATGACAACAATATGGCCTCAATTTGTGATTACAATGGCTGCTGTTGCGTTCCGATGCGGCGCGGAGCGGTTTCTTGCGTTGAGGCACTGCAACGCCCATACGGTGTGGCTTGCGGCGCTATTGCGGCGCAATTAACTACTATGCAAGCTAGCTAACATAATACAAATTATAATCTGATACAACAAGAACCACAATATTAAAGCTACGCTAATATCCTAGTATCATCTAAAAGACCTCTCTCTAAATGGTTTTACTAAAAATTTGTTTTTTTAATACAAAAAAATTTGTTTTTTGAAGTGTCGGTGCATCATAGATCCTCGTACGCAGTTTTACCCTTGCATATTTACAAAAAAACTGTTTTCTGAATTTGAACTCGTGATCCTCAGTTACAAAGAAACAACTTTACCTCTACTCAAGACTCGCCCTCTTAAGATTGGTTCTTGTTATTATTGCTAGAATTTTTTAAGGTGAATATCTTGCACATTTAGTGCTCATTATAATATTCTTGGCTGTCAGCTTTTGATGTTTTCAATATTTCACAGATTGTTGGATTTGATTATTGAAAAACTCTTCCATGTGGATGTTTCTTTTTTCTTTCTTTCTGTTAATTAGGGAGTACATATTATTATTCATCATGCATTATTTTCTTTAGCTTGCTAATAGTTATACTGTATAAATAGTTCATTCATAATTTTTCCTTGATATATATGGTATTTTCTGCTTGGTTATATGGTTCCATTATGTAATAGATATATCTACTTAAAGGCTCCTTGGCAAAGCTGTATTATATCATCTATTGAAATTCTCTCATTCTTTAATGCTGCAGGTTTCATCTATCAAATCTGGTATGTGGAACAGCATCTATGATACCTTCCAAGCTATCAACCATAATGAATTAACTAACTCACCGACCAAAAGTTCTGAATATGAAACCATAGATGTTGGACCAAGCCTGGAAAATATACCAGTCATAACCGAGGATAGCACAGAGAATACAAAGTGTGAGTTTATTTTCCTTTAAGTCAAGCTTTGGCTGACTTACTATCTAGTTATCTTGTAACGTTGGCCATCTTTTTTCCTCGTTTTTCCCTATTATTTGCGCTCTCTTTTCTACTCTTACCGACATTGCAGAGTTTGTTGTTGGATGTAACAGGTATTTCTGCTGAAGATATCATCAGAAAAATTGGAACCTATTTTGACCTTAATAATGAAGTAAATAGAAATAGTAACTCACTGATGCAATGTAGAATTATGTTGTTGAGGAAGTTTTGCAACTGTGAAAGTTGGGTGGCTGAGCAGTTTGGTGTGAAGAACTTCACTTCTCTTGGTTATGGGGATTTCTTATTATTCCTTGAGAAGTATGTTAACCAGTTGCCTCATGAGCTACTCAAATTGTTGGATGGAGGCACATGTGAAAATTCCTCTTCTGTGGCCTACATGTCCTCAAATCAGTTGGCTGCTCTAGTATCTCAGGCTTGTAGTAGTTTGTGGAAAAATGAAACGGTAACAAAGCAGATGATTTCTGTGCTGCTTATGAGACAGTTTCCTTCAATTGGTTTTGAGGTTTTGGAAAATGTCTCTCTTGAGGATCTGCTGGATACTGCTCGAGTGCATAAATCTAGTGTGACTTCAGAATGTGTTTTATTTTCTGCAACAATGATAGAAAAGTACTATCTTGAAGACTCATTAGGTGATAGAGATAACAATGAAATCACCACTGATAGGTCTAAGTTGAGCCAGTACACAATAAGCTCTGGATCTGTTACAACAAAAAATGCAATTGAAGTCTTACTTAAGGCACCAATGTTGTCTGATTTGAGCAAGTGGTCTCATTGGGATCTTATGTTTGCACCCTTCCTAGGGTCGTTTATTTCATGGTTGTTGAATGATGTAAATTCCAAGGAATTGTTCTGTTTGGTTACCAGAGATGGAAAGGTGATACGGATAGATTGTTCTGCTACCCCAGACTCTTTCCTGGAGGCTGCAGTTCAAGGATCTTCTTTCCAAACTGCAGTGAATTTGCTATCTCTTATCTCACTAGATGGGGGAGAGAAACGTGTTCGGTTGTCCCTTCTAAAATACGATGCCTGTCGTGCATTTGAAGTCATGTTCAGAAAAACTCTAAAAGATATTGAAGTTGGTGATGATGGGAATGCTCTCCAGTCTGAGGAAGCTTTATGTAAAACAAAATTTTTAACTGAAATTTCAACTACTAAAATGAGAAGTGAGTTTAGGAAAGACATACATAAACTGAGTAAGGTAGTGCCCATTCTGTCAAGGTTTGTCCTTGAATGTCTTGGTTATCTACCTGCTGAATTTCATAGTTTTGCTTCTGATGTGTTGCTTTCCGGGATGCAATCTGTTTGCAAGGATGCTGCTTCAGCTATTTTATGTGAATGCAGCAACATGGAGCAACGTCTCATGCTTCATGAAGTAGGATTGTCTCTGGGTATTTCCGAGTGGATTAATGATTACCATGCATTTATTTCAAAAGACACTTCTGTCCTTTGTTGTGCTCGTGTTACATGCTTAAAAGATGCCAAAACTGAAATAAGCACAAGCCTGAAGCATGACCAAGAGATCTTGGATAAGTCTCCTGTGCCTGAAGCAAAAATGGTTGCATGTGGACTCAATGAAGGGTGCACAGAAATCAGTCGAACAATTGATAGTGAAAAATCTAATGATGAATCTATAACTGGCTGCCTGGAAAATTCATTTCAAACTGATGAACATATGGATGCTGCTCTGATCATCAAATCTATTAGGCGAGATGAATTTGGCCTAGATCCAAGCCTTTCTGATAGTGAAAGTTGCATGTTGAAGAAGCAACATGCTCGGTTAGGGAGAGCACTGCATTGCCTTTCACAAGAGCTATATTCCCAAGATTCACATTTCATTCTTGAATTGGTGAGGATATTCCTTTAACTTTTTATCCTGTGCTTATGAATTAAGGAGGAATAGGGGATATTTTGTGGTTACCTGTCATGCCTCTTTCTTATCATTGTTTATAAATCCAATGTTCTGAAAACCGAAGATGATGTTAAGCTTCAAATTCTATAATCTGATAGTTTAGTTTCACTTTTACTTCTATCACTGCCTAAGAAGTTGAATTTTCGTGGGCAGTGTTAAATATAATGTAGATGTAAGGTAGTGGTAATGTGCTGAAAATGTTTATGTTGTCTGATTGAATATTAGTTTTTGGAATATTGACAACATCATATCCATTGCATGTTTAGATTCTTGTTCATTCTGGGTAGGAGTGTGAATGACTGAAAATTTTATCTTGTCTGATTGAATATTAGTTTTTGGAATATTGACAACATCATATCCACTCCATTTTTAGATTATTGTTCATTCTGGGTAGAAGTGTGAACAACTAAACACGGTTATCTATAGGAATTCAGCTTAAATCTTCAGTTTCATGTTGCACCTTTTGTAATGGGAAGATTTTAATAAACTATTTACATTTAATATCGACTCTCAACCTTGGAAATTTGGTTGATTTTGCTGTTATTTACTACTTGGTAAGGCTTCTGGTAGCTTTGAGAATTAATATTCTGCGCATTTATCTAATAATTTTTCCTCTTGGTTCAGGTTCAAAATGCAGATGATAATAATTATCCAGAGAATGTGGAACCGACTCTTACATTTATTCTTCAAAATTTTCGTATTGTTGTATTGAATAATGAGCGAGGTTTCTCTGCTCAAAATATGAGAGCACTTTGTGATGTTGGAAGTTCAACAAAGAAAGGATCTAATGCTGGATACATAGGGAAGAAAGGCATTGGCTTCAAGTCTGTGTTCCGAGTATGTTAAAGAAACTTTTTTCTAGTTTCGCTTTAAAATAGCAACTTTCTTTCAGAGAGAAATCCGTATAGTTCAAAAGGAGTTTAGTTGCTTCGTCATGTCTAATATTGCTCCTGAGTTATGTCAAGTAGTTTCCAGATCATCCACTTTTATTTTCTTGTCTTATGTGTTTCTTTGTAATCTTTCATTTGTTGTCTGATTTTCTGTTATTTCTACTTTTTCCTAATGAGGGCGAGCAGTAGTGGTAAAGCTACTCCGTTGTGACTAAAAGGTCACAGGTTTGGATCCCGAAAACAGCCTCTTTGCATATATGCAAGGGTAAAGATGTGTATAAGGATTGTCTTCACCCCACCCTTGTTAGTCGGGGTTTAATGTAGAGTGGTTCTACTTTTCCCTATGCTTTATTATGCTTTCGTTCTTTCTGATGGTACTCTTTGATTTTGTTTATATTCTTCCTTTGTTGGGCTCTGCAAGGTGTATATGATTGCTTCCATTTATTTGTTATCATTTTAAAAATTCTCTTCTTTTCCTGAATGGCTTGTAATTGAATTTTTTCCTCTTAATATATAAAATTTAAAGAACACATACACACTCACACACATCATTATTTTTATCCAATCTAAGTTAGAATTATAATATGCGTTTATGAATTATAATTTTATCTTCATATTACTTAAAAAAAAGGGGCGAACTGGAGCAGTGGTAAAACTGTTCTTTCATGACTGAAAGGTCATGGGTTCGAATCCAGGAAACAGCCTCTTTGCAATTATGCAAGGGTAAGGCTGCGTACAAGGATTTCCTCCACCCCACACTCGCTACTAATCAAAATCAATTTTTTTTTTTTTTTTTTTTATTACTTAAAAAATTTAGTGAATAATATACATCAAATATAGTATTTTGTAAATTAATTTAGTTGATCCTCTTTTTGAACTGGACCCCTGGTTACACACTAGTTCTATTAAATTTTAGAGATTCAGCCTCTTATTAAGTATTATGTTTCCAAATTCCAAGAATTTACAGTTTCCTTGTATCTGCCTGTATGGATGGCTTTATGCAATTCTGTGCTTGAATTTTTAAAATATAATATAGTTTTTGTATTTAGAAGTAAGTGGGTGAGCTTGAAGCAGTGATAAAGTTGTTCTTGTAACTAAAAGGTTACTGATTCGAATATGAGCAACAGTCTCTTTGCAATGTATAAGGATAAGACTGTGTACAAGGATTGCCCTCACCTCACTTTCGCTAGTCGAGGTTTAAAGAGGAGTGGTTTTTGTATTGAGAAGTCCATTCTGTTCTTTTCATTTTGTATTGTTTTTTTCTTCCTCTGTGCAAGTGTTTATTGTATTTCTCCTGCATCCTGTGTAACCTGTCACAGAGATTCATCAAGGTTGAAATTATGATTGGATTGGAAATACTTTTGTGATTGTACATAAAAGCTATGTAGAATTATCATTTCAATTCTTTTCCCCATTATTTCTTATATAGTAATGAGTTCTATTAACATCGGTTGGTTTCACTTGCAGGTCACAGATGCTCCAGAGATTCATTCCAATGGTTTTCATGTTAAATTTGATATTAGTGAAGGCCAGATTGGTTTTGTCTTGCCCACAGAAGTACCTCCTTGTGATATTGGCTCGCTCAGTAGGATGGCATCTACTGGTGCTGATTCATATGATGATAATTCCTGGAACACATGCATTGTGCTTCCATTCAGATCTCATCTATCAGAAGGAACCGACATGAAGAGTATGATGACTATGTTTGCAGATCTTCATCCTTCATTGTTACTATTCCTTCACCGCCTTAAGTGTATCAAGTTGAGAAACTTGGTTGATGATACGCATATTGTTATGAGAAAAGAAACTTTAGGAGATGGTATCATTAAGGTTTCTCATGGGAAAGAGAAAATGGCATGGTTTGTAGTATCTGAGAAGTTGCATACCAATTCCATTCGCTTTGATGTGCGAACAACTGAAATCTCTATGGCGTTTACTCTCCAAGAATCAGATGGTGGTTACAGTCCATGTTTAGATCAGCAGCCAGTTTTTGCATTTCTTCCTTTAAGAACATATGGCCTGAAATTTATTCTTCAAGGTGATTTTGTTCTTCCCTCATCTAGAGAGGAAGTTGATGGAGATAGTCCTTGGAACCAATGGTTATTGTCAGAGTATCCTAATTTGTTTGTCAGAGCAGAGAGAGAGTTTTGTGAACTTCCCTGTTTTAGGAGTGAACCTGGAAAGGGATTGTCTGCATTCATGAGCTTTGTTCCTTTAGTTGGGGAAGTGCATGGTTTTTTCTCCAGTCTTCCTCGTTTGATTATTCTTAAACTACAAATGATGAATTGCTTACTTGTGGAGGGTGACAACAATGGATGGGTCCGTCCCTGCAAGGTATTGAGAGGTTGGACGGAGCAGGTGCGCTGTCTTCTTCCTGATAACATACTTCTTGAGCACCTCGGGCTCAGATACTTGGATAAAAATATAGTGTTGTCTGATACACTAGCAAGAGCACTAGGCATTGAAGAGTTTGGGCCTAACATTCTTGTTCGAGTTTTGTCATCTTTATGTCACACAAAGAGTGGGCTGATATCAATGGGGATGAGTTGGTTAGCTTCTTGTCTAACTATACTCTACGAAACAATGTTCAATTCATCTGTCATAGCGTCAATCAATTTTGAAATGAGAGAAGATATTCTAAAAAATCTTAAAAAAATACCATTTATTCCACTTTCTGATGGTACATACAGCTCAGTGGATGAAGGCACTATATGGTTGCAGTCCAATACTTTAAACACGGGGTTTGATGGTGAGCTTAAAATTGAAGCTTTCCCTAATATATGTGCTAAACTACGAACTGTAAGTCCTTCCCTATTTTCTGCATCTTCTGGTACTCTAAGCTTGAATATGACTTTTTTGGACAATGCTACCCGGTTACTTCAGAGTATTGGCGTTCAACAGTTGTCTGTACATGATGTTGTGAAGCTGCATATTTTACCTGCCTTGTCTGATAAAACAATGGCAAACAAGAACAAAATGTTGATGGTAGAATATATGTGTTTTGTAATGTTACACTTGAAGTCTACCTGTTCTGATTGTTTCATCGAAAGGGAGCATATAATCTCTGAGTTACGATGTAAATCTTTGTTATTGACAAATTATGGTTTTAAATGTCCGGCTGAAGTACCAATTCATTTTAGTACAGGATTTGGTAATCCTGTTACTCCAAAAATGTTAGCTGATGTTGTGAATATGAGATGGCATGAGGTTGACATAAGCTATCTAAAGCACCCCGTAAATGAGTTGGTTTCATCTGCACTGATGAAGTGGAGGGAATTTTTTGAGCAAATTGGCATCACAGATTTTGCTCAAATAGTCCCGGTGGATAAGAGTGTTGTTGATGTATTGGATGCCACTTTTAAGCAGGTGATGTGGGATAGGGGTCAAATATCTACAGAATCAATAGTCAAAGATTGGGAATCCCCAGAAATAGTGCAATTAGTATCCTTATTGTCTAAAATTGGCAATCAAGAAAGTTGTAAATATCTCTTGGAGGTTCTTGATACATTATGGGATGCTTGTTACAGTGATAAAACTACAGGTTATTTTGACTCTAAATCTGTAGATGGCCATTCCTTTAAGTCTACTTTTATATGCAGCTTGTGCAATATCCAGTGGGTTGTGTCAACCATTGATGGTGAGCTACACTATCCTAAAGATTTATTTTATGATTGTGAAGCAGTCCGGATGATCCTAGGAGCTTTTGCGCCATATGCTGTTCCAAAGGTTAGTTTTTTTGTTCAATTGTTTCAAGTATAAGTGGATGATGATCTTTATGATTTTTTTTTTAGTTTATGTTGTAATTGTAAATTGGGAAATAGGCTTTGTAATTGTGGATTTAGAGATTACTTATCAATATGGTTGCTTGGGTCTTGAGATATGTTTTCTGTGTGTTGGATAACATCTTTATTTCCTGTTTTGAATTTTTATTGTGTGCAATATGTTTGGGTTGCTTGTCCTGCTGGATTTAGGGTTGTCTATGCTCTATATAAGGTATATTGTTTGTCTTAAGGATTTCAGCTTAATATTGAATTTGAAATTTTGAGTATTTGATAAATTTTAGTATTTATTGATATTTTCCTCCAGTTCTTATTTTTGTTTTACATTAGCGTTAGTGTGTGTAACGGTATTTGGATTTTGAAGATGTGACATTTTGGCTAAAAAGAACAGTGACAGTGGGACTTGATATCATTTTGTTTTCTGTATTATTCAATCAGGTGAAAAATGAAAGGTTGGTAAAAGATGTTGGGTTTAAGACTAGAGTTACTCTTGGTGACATTTTTGATATTCTTAAAGCCTGGAGAGAATCACCTGAGACTCCATTCAAGGCCAGGTATGCTCCTTTTCAGCTTTTACACCCAAACAGAATGACTTCGATTGTTTGAGTAACCACACTTTTCATCTAGGAAGCACAAATATGACATGGAAGATGAATACTATATGACAAAATTTGAACTGGACACAAAAGGGTTTGGGTACAACATATACAATTAGTATAAGATTAACTCACCAAAAATCTTAAATTAAAACAGACAATCAATGTTCCAGAAGTCAACATTAGTCGTTTTAGACACAACATTGTGGTATCTCTTCTATGTTGGTATAAAAATTCAAAAAATAAAAATACAGTTTTGGAGAATGCATGGAGGAGTATTTGATGGTGTCCAAGGAGTGTTTGTCATGGATATGTGTCCGACATTGATACAGCCACCATTTTAAATTGTCAATGTTTCCTCATTTTCATTTCATCTACCAATAATGCTTATCACTCCCCTTCGCTAAAAACATGTCAAAGATTAACTTTTCTTAAAGCTTAAGCTTTTAGGTGGAAACTCATGAGTGGTTTTATATTTGTGTTGAGATATATAGTCCCACATCGGTTGTACGTGCAACTAATGTGGCCTTTATAAGACCTTAGGCACTCCCATCCTTTGAGCTAGTTTTTGAGGTGGTGTACCCAAGGTTCTTTACATGGTATCAGAGCCTCGCCGCCCCCCACTTTCTCTTGTGGCGTTTCTTAGCACAGGTAGGCTGAGCCTGTTGCATTGTCCACTCTTCAAGCCCAATGGGCTCTCGTGTGAGGGGGCGTGTTGAGATATATAGTCCCACATCGGTTGTACGTGCAACTAATGTGGCCTTTATAAGACCTTAGGCACTCCCACCCTTTGAGCTAGCTTTTGGGGTGGTGTATCCCAAGGTTCTTTACAATTTGTATCATGTTCCCTAACGGAAGAGATGTTTTGAGCTTGAAGTATAGACAATGCATATGCTTGCTCTACCTTGTGCTGAGATCCTAGGAAGCATGGACACTCCAAAAAACAGGGAGTGTCGTGTCCGACACGCTCCGACACGATGTCCGACATGCGGTCAACATTCCCGACACGTTGACCATTTCGACACACGAATTTGACTGTGTCCGACATGGTCAAATGGCATTTTCGTAAAAAAGTTATATTTTTTTAAAATTAAAGTATATTAATAAAGCTTCCACCTGATTATATCAATTTTTTTTTGGCCTTTTTTCCCCTTAAGTAGATAATAGATCATCTCAGCACCATCGTTGTCATTCCTATTGCGCATTTGTTGTGTCTCCTTTTCTCTGATCTCTCTCTGTGATATGATCCCTCTCTTTCATCCCAGTTCCTGTTTTTTTTTTTTAATTAAAGCTTCCACCTTTATAACGTGTTGATGAGTATTATTAATTTAGTTTCATTTTTTTGTTAAATTATTGAATATTAAATAGAATATACACTATATAAATTAAAAATATTATTTAATATTAAAACGTGTCCTAACGTGTCGAAATCCATACTTTTTTTAGGATTGACGTGTCGGAGTATCGTGTCGTGTCATGTGTCGTGTCGGTGCTACATGGCTGAAATCCACCTTTTTATTAAAAGAATATCGAGGCAATAATTATACTCCTAACCACTTGGTCATTGAGGTTTTGATATAATATTGAGCATTAATTCTCCTAAAAGCTTAAGCTGCCAGTTAGAGGTTCATGATTAGTTTTACGCTAACAAAATTCTTCATGCAAGAATAACATGAAAATGACTGAACTATAGCATTTTTCTGTGCATTATTTTGCTGCGTGGACCAAATACCAATGCTGGGGAAGCCAATGGTCAAAACATATCACATAAAAAATATTCCAATATAAATCTTTAGAAAACTATGGAGACTACAACTTGACATAAAAAAATTCAAAGATACATGTGCTATTACAAGATGCATATTAAATTTTAAAGAACATATACTCAAAGAGTCCATTCTTATTCTTATAATAATTGTATAAAAATTAGGGTTGTATTACTCTCATGTTGCATGAGAGTAATATAACTTCCTACAGACCCATTGATTCATGTGCCTCTCTTTTTCTTTTTTTCTTTTTTAATAAATAGTGGGGTCCACCACGTGATTGTATCTACAACATGAAATAACATATCTCCTATTGCATGAGAGTAATATAACCCTAAAAATTATGAATTATTCTCTAATGTTTGTTTTGTTTGGTTATAAAGGGACTTAGGGGCACTTGAGCTAAAGTTGTGCTAATTATTCTCTAATGTGATATAACATAAGAATATTATTTATATAACAACAAAAATAACACCAACAACCAGGCCTTATTCCATAAGGTGGGGTTGACTGTATGGATCCAATCCAACAATGCCGTTGTGCTCCATGGAAAACCAAATTTTCAGAAATTCAATTCAGATTGAGATCTTGTTTAATGGTTTCTACAAAGGTTTTGTTTGATCTTCCTGTTTTAATCATACTATCGTCCATTCAAGTCACTATTTTTATTGGAACCACTGTTGGCATTCCTTACTTGATTAAATCACCTTAGGAGAGTCTTTGTCGTCTTCTCCTCAATAACAAAGCTGGAATACTAATGCAACTTAACTTCCAATTTAATATCTCTTGCATATTTTATTTGTGTTATTTTAACCTTCAACCCATCCTAAGACTCTTCAACAAACCGGACTAATAGAGAGTTGGATTAAAATCTCATTATGTGAGCTGAAATAAAACATGGATATTATAAGTCTTGTCGGTGATGTCAAACAATCTAAACTCCAGGGGTTTGAGTCCTCGTATGGTTACTTTTTGAGGCAGCAAGAGATCATAATATAGGACTATACTAATTCATTAATGAACTTTATAAGATAGGGATAATCCCTGAACAGTGCTGAGCCAGTAAAAATAATTTGCACAATATTGGGATGGGATGTTCTAGATATTGACCTCAATTTGTTGTACTCTTGTTAGGACTTTAGTCTTCTTTTGAATGTCTCAAATTTTTATTCAGGAGAAAGGGGGGTCAGCTATAATGATGTTTTGACTTTTAATGATTTTATTGTAATTTTTGTACCAATAGAAGGCAGTGAGTAAAAAAATCACTCCCCGTTAAACCCGACTAACGAGTGTGGGGTGGAGGTAATCCTTGTACGCAGCCTTACCCTTGCATAATTGCAAAGAAGCTGTTTTCTGGATTTGAACCCATGACCTTCATGAAAGAAGGCAGGGAGTAGGGAAGAAAAAAAGGAGAGTTGCTAAGAAGCAAACATATCTTTCAATTGGATGTGTATTGACTATCCGTGCTTCTTTTTCTTTTCTTCATTTTAAATTACACAAATTCACTCACTAATATATGTATTAATTTTGCCAGCATAAAACAAATGTCCAAATTATATGCATTCGTTTGGAATGAAATGGCAGCTTCGAAGCAGAAAACCATGGAAAATTTGATGTCTGGACCTTTTATATTTATCCCGTACTCATCTTTCAATAGTCATGATGATGTTGTATGTGGGACCTTTTCTTATCCCAATGAAGTGTATTGGCATGATTCAACTGGGTCTGTTCAGCAAATGAAGGAGTTCCATCCTCAATGCAGCTCATCTCATTTACCTATAAACAAGTCGCTGTACAATATTTACCCTGGTCTTCATGGTTTCTTTGTTGACGAATGTGGAGTGCAAGAAGAACCTCCTCTGCGCAGCTATATTCAAATTTTGCTGCAGTTATCAACTGTTAGTTTGCCTTCACAAGCAGCAGATAAAGTAAGTTCTGAATAATAAATAGTAACTGATTTCTTTTGCCTTAAACTTCTTATCCTCTCTGTTTGTCTCCAGATTTTCCATGTTTTCCTCAAGTGGGCAGATGGACTAAAATCTGGTTTGCTGAGTGTTGAGGATGTCATATATCTAAAAGAGTGTCTTTCAAAATTAGAATTTCCAGTGCTTCCTACTGTGCAAGATAAGTGGGTTTCATTACATCCTTCCTTTGGTCTTGTCTGCTGGTGCGATGATAAGAAGTTGAAAAAAGAATTTAAGCATTCCGATAACCTTGACTTTCTCTATTTTGGTGAGCTAACTGATGATGATAAAGAGATTGTGCAAGAAAAAATTTCCGTTCTCATGAAAAAGTTAGGTATTCCAGCAATCTCAGAGGTATGATCACTCTTTCTCTTGTACTCTTCTTTTTCTGTCCTATTATTCATTGTGGTCTAGACTCTAGAGACTTCTCAAATTATGGTGTAACACTACCACTTGCATGTATGCACATTTGCATATTTTCTGTTTCAGTCTGAAATTCTGTAGGATATTTTTGTGCTTGATTGTATGATGATTTACATGTTCCTTAAGTACTCAGAATTAACTTGGAGTGGCATAGGTGTACGTTAAGTTTCCAATAGGGACAACGGTGGTTAGTCACAACCATTTGTAGGCCTCTTCTGAATTGCTTAATATTTTAGTGTGGATTTATGAAATAAAAATAATAAACTCTTTGATCAAGTAGCCATGGACTCCAGTAATTCATTGATAATAAAATACATTGTGGTCAAAACATGGGGACAAATTAGTCCACAATAATGTTACATGTAGCATGATCAAATTCAATACACCAATTGAGTATGGGACATGATATTTTTGCTAGCATGAGGAAGAATATTTAACATGATGGTGCCACACAAGTTCACTTTTGTTTATAACCTGAAAATTCCGTTTTGAACTTAACTATTGTATTGGACAATGTTATAACGATTGGGCCTAAGTCAACTCCAAAAGCTCGCCCAACGGGGGGAGGATTACTCAATCATTATAAAGTGCACTTTGCCCATATATTTAGCAGATGTGGGATCTTTTAATACCCCATCTCATGCCAAAGAAAAGTTATACGGAGCATGATCTCCTATGTTACACCGACACCGACACAGGATACGACACTCCGACATGTTAATTCTAAAAAATATTAAATTTCGACACGTTAGGACACGTTTTGATACTATATAATTTTTTAATTTATGTAGTGTATATTATATTTAATATTCAATAATTTAATCAAAAAATAAAGGTAAACTTATAATATCCATCAATTTTGTAAAGAAACATAAGATATCCCAAATGTTTATATTAAACTTAATAAAATGGTAATCTAAATTCAACGAATCTAATAGTTGGAATTCAAAATGCAACGCAACGTAACCTTTGAACCCTTTTTGAGTCTTTGCAACGAGTATTGGAGTGTCGGGAAGTGTCTTGAGTGTCAGACATGACACATCAGGGTTTTTGAAGTGTCGGTGCTTCATAGATGATCTCTAAACATCTCCCCTCATGTCCAGGACGAGTTATCCGGTCTGGAGCATGAAGGAATAAGAGGCTTAAACATCTGCTAGTTGCTCAGGACAGGTTTTTTAGATAAGTTCAAGCTGTTAGTTGAAGACATAGAATTGTTTTTTTAGATCTTTCATTTCCTTTGTCAGCAAGCTAGTATTATTATAATTTATGTTTGTCCTTAGACTTGATAAGAATTAGGACTAAGGGTCCATTTATAATTGGACTGGATAGGATAACTCAGCATAGTCAACATTATACAATGTTTGATGCACACGCTGGATAGTATGAAGTTTATCCCAATAGTAATTTTTATCTCGTATTTCTCTCCCAAGTTTTAAGAAGCGACTCTGGAGCAGTGGTAAAGTTGTTCCTTTGTGACTGGAAGGTCATATGTTTGAATTTGGGAAAGTCTCTTTGCAATTATGTAAGGGTAAGGGTGCGTAGAAGGATTGTCCTCACTCCACTCTCGCTAGTCGGGGTTTAATGGGGAGTTGTTTATTTCTCTTTTAAGTTCTAACTTTATCTGGCTTGGAGGGTGGGTTAAGATGGATGGGATGAGAAGTAAAATATTGTTACCACTTTGTCCCCAGAATCCCATTACCACCAACCACCACCCTTTAGCTATCACCATCCCCACAGCCTTGGGTTTTAATTGAGCAGCAAGGGTATTTTTTGCTGAAAAATTTATTTATGCTAAATTGTTTTTACACTGACGCACAAAACAGTGGATGCTACTAGAGTTTATCAGCTTATCCTATGTGTCCTGGGTGGGTGTTAAAAGGATTATTCTGAGTTTACAGGTAGAACTATTACAATGGAATTCAGTTTCAATTGTTGTACCTTTTGTTTCAAATTTAATTGGTGTCTTTTTCTGTATAAATTTGTTTACTTGACAAAGAGAAAATGGATATTCATATAATTTTGGATAGTACATTAATGCATTATGACTGACTATGTACAGGTTGTAACCCGGGAAGCAATATATTATGGTCTTGCTGATTGTAGCTTGAAAGAGTCATTGATAAACTGGATGCTTCCATATGCTCAGCGCTACATTTATAAACTTCATAGTGATAAATATGTTCAACTCAAGGAGTCTGGTTTCAATATTTTGAATAATCTTAAAGTCATTGTTGTTCAGAAGCTGTTCTACAGGAATGTTATAAAGAGTGGTGGCAGTGTATCAAATAAGCGAGTTGAATGTAGTTGTCTTCTGCAGGTATGTTAGAATTCATAAATTTTTCATCTAAAACCTGCATTCATTATTTGGATGGATGTTCATGATAGAAACTGAAAACTAAACCTGATGGAAGTGTCCTCTTGGATTCTGATATAGAGTATTGAAAACTACAGGCTACTTTTAGTTTGAAAAACCATTTGTTTGTTCACCTTTTCCAGAGATTTCAATTGCAAGCTTGAATCGATCATCTGGTTAAATGAAAACTTAAATGCAAAACAGATTTTCCTCAAACTTTAACTAACTTTGGTTGTGATTTCTTAACAAGTTCCATCCTATGTTGGATTTTTGTTCAGTGACACTTCACTTCCTATACACAATGTGAGTCTCAATTCATCATCAGTAAGATTTCATCTAAAATATTTTAGAGCATTGATGATTTCATTCTTTGCCTGGATCAAGCAATCACTGTGCCTGAAACACAAGTGTTCATCACAGTTTATTTACCTATTCCACGTCATAATTTTTCTTTGCAATAAAGTTTTTCTCTTCAGTACCTGTATCTATATTACGTGTCTATATGCTTGTTTGTTTCTTATAGGGAAACATTTTGTACACTGCTGAAAAATCAGATTATCATTCCTTGTTTATGGAGCTTTCGGGTCTGTTACTTGATGGGACTTCTGAATTACACTTGGCGAATTTCCTTCTTATGATAACAACCATGGCAGAATCCGGTTCCTCTAAGGAGCAAATAGAATATTTCATATTGAATAGCCAAAAGGTGCCAACACTTCCAGATGAAGAACCGGTTTGGGTAGTATCTTCTGTGTCTTCTCTGGTAGAGGCTGATGGGTCGCACCCTTCAGCTCATGTTCCATCAACAAATCAACAGATCTTTCCAAGAAGGAAGACTGGAGTATACTCAAACTGGCCACCAGCTGATTGGAAAACCGCACCAGATTTCAGTTTTGCCCGTGCCAATGGTTTCAAGACCAACCCTGCCCAGGTTAGCAGTTTTTCTGAAGTGAAGAAGGATGATAATTCTGAAAGCATTATTGCTCCACCGGTTTGTGCTGAACAAGGATCAGTTGCTGTTGACTGGACTATTAAAGATGATCTACCAGCAAGTTCATTAATGCCATTGCATGAAAATGAAAATGAAAACTTAGAAGATCAATCCTACCATGATTTTGAGCCAACTGCGTTTAGTCTCCATGCTGAATCTGATCCTGTTAGTTTAGGTGAAGCTTTGGATGAATCGTTGGATGAAGCTCGGTTGAGCTCACCAGCTTTTAGCAACAGAGTCCGACTTCAAACTGGTACATTAGATACAGCACAAACAAAGTTAACTGGCAGATTAGGCGAATTTCTTGCATGCAAATACTTTGTTGATAAAATTGGCAAGACTTCTGTAAGGTGGGTTAATGAATTTAATGAAACGGGACTTCCATATGATATAGTCATTGGGGAGGAGACCAATCAAGAGTTCATAGAAGTTAAAGCAACCAGATCTCCAAGAAAAGACTGGTTCATAATAACAATGAGAGAGTGGCAGCTTGCAATTGAAAAAGGTGAATCTTTTAGCATTGCATTTGTCGCAATAATGGGAAATAATGTTGCGAAGATTACAATATTCAAAAATCCAGTGAAGTTATGCCAGCTAGGTGAGCTGCAATTGGCTGTTATGATGCCAAGACAACAAAAGCAGTTCTCTGTTGTCTCGTAGCTTCGATTCTTGTTTTATTATATTGTGTGGATGGATTTGGTGAAGCCTGTATTTATCCCTTTTGAAGCTACCTTTGCATCCAGGCTTGCTAGAGGCATATGTGTTGGTAATTTCGGCTGAGAAGATCAATGATATGGATGGGATATCACTTATTGCAAAATGCAAGATATGTTGATCACGTGAGTGGTTGTACCCAAGATTTTGCTTTTGTGTGGATATATTTTTGCATATACCACATGTCTAAGTCACCCCAAGGAGAAAGATACCTGGGCAAATATAGTGGGAATATTCTTGCATCACTTTATTTGCTTTCTCTTATTCCTAGATTTTGGTGAGGGTGGGCGAGCCTTGTGGAATAATAGATCTTTAATATTCTGGAAGATGTTCCTGTCAGTTTCAGCTATTTGTTACGTGTATGTCTCAAGTGTTTATGGCTACCACTACTGGAAGACTTATTTTAATTTATAGGGCGAAGCTCAAGGCCATGCCGCTCAACGTGTAAATACAAACTTCTCAAATTGAGTAACAAAATAGGATCCCAATTTGATTGTCGACGATTTAGCAAACACTTGGAGAGATCCACAAGTGCATGCTTTCCATAATGAATTACATGCATAAGTGTCTTATTTTGGCATTTATCTTAAATTTGTTGGAAGAACTTAGAAGGCATATGCTAGGTGTTACATGATGTTTCCAGTTTCGTATTATGTATCAGGCGCGGGCTCTGCCCTTACACACAAAATTTATGTTTGGAAAGTATATTTATATGCCTACGAAGTCTAGTAAGAAATAACTTGTTTGAAGAAACAAGGATGGCGCAAACACACAACAGCCACCGAAAGTGGGGGGAAAAAAAAATCAGGAAATAGTCATTTGCTTAAAAAGTTCGTGAATTTGAAAGAAACCAAAAGATTTTTACGTAATCTTCGATGTGGGTTTTTTGTGAGTAGTGTGAACAGCATATTTTGTCTTGCCATTATTTTATAAAAAATAGCAAAAAAAAAAAAAAAAACATAACAATAAAAGGCAAATATATATAACACACATGACAAAAAGTTATATTAAAAAATATTAATTTTGGATTAAAAAAGAGGAATAGATAACAATTTTAGGGTGTGCATGACAATCATTCTGTTTTCTGACACTGTTTCAAAAAAAAAAAATCGGAACAATTTCTGAGGAAAAAATGTTTGATAACATGTTCTATTTTTTTTTTTCTGAGAATGAGAATTGTGTTTGATAACAACAAATAATATAACAAAAAATTATTCTTATTAAGCATAAATTTTTTTTTGGATCATCACTTTCCTTTTCATATGGTGTGGTGGTGGTGGTGGTGACGACAATGATAGCAGCATGGTGGTGGTGGTAGTGGTGGTGATGGTGGTGGCGAGGTGGTAATGACATGGTGGTGGTGGTAACAACAGTGGCTGCATCGAAGATGATGGTGGTTAATGACAATGATGGTGATAGCAGTGGCTTCGACAATGATGATGGTGGTAGTGGTGATGATGGTGATGGCAGTGACGATGGTGATGGTAGTGGTGGTTGGTGACGTGGTGATGATGGTGACGGTGGTGGTGGTGACGGCAGTATCTGCGATGGTGATGGTGGTGATTGGTGACGATGGTGGTGGTGGTGGCGGTGACGGTGACGGTGATAGTAGTGGTGGTGGTGATGGTGACGATGACACTGGTGATACGATGACGACAGCGACGATGGTGGCGATGGTCGTGATAGGATGGTGGTGGTTGTGGTGATAATGATAATGATGGAAAGTGATTGAGAGAGACAATTGTTTCTCATTTTATGTCCGGAAACAAAAAAAATAGAAATTTTTTTATACTTGTTTTGTTCCTTAGCACAAAAATTAAACCAGTTCATCTCGGGAACAAAAAAAATAAAATGATTTTACCAAACGAATTTTCTATCCATTTATGTTCCCGGAAATAAAAATTAAAAAAAAAAAGATTCCGGAAATGTTGTCATGCATACCCTTAATAAATTTTAATTATATTTAGAAAAATACAATTACCTAACTTCGACGTTCAAAGATTCTTTTACTCTCTTTCTCTTCCTATTTTAACTTCACCTTCTTGCATGAAAATATCTACAAAGCGATAGGTTATTCTACCTACTTTTGCCTACCATTCTCCAACACTGTTAGATTAGAATCTAAAGAGGAGAGAAAAAAATGTTAATTAAGATTCAGATCTAATGATCTTTTAGAGTGATAGACAGGAAAAAAAATAGATAGAATAACTTATTCCATCTACAAAATACTAAATTAATAAACTTAATAATACTTCAAGAAGAGAGTTGATGAAGGAAAAATAATATAATGAGGTAATGAACGAGTTACACAAGCTGAGCTTAAGCATCATATTTTTTAAACAAATCAAGCCCAAGTTTAAAATTTGATTAATTTAAATTAGGGTAGAGACAGAACTGTTACAGACACAAAGTTATTATGAGCCCCACTGCAATTAAAAAATAAATAAAACACAAATTTCTAAGGGTGTGAAGGAGAAAAGATGTTTCTCCAACATCATGATAGGCATTTGGCAAAATACTTCTTATATCACTGCAGAAGGAATTTTATACAGCCACAGACTCAGTTTTCATTTTAGTTTTTTTTTTTTAAAAAAAAACATGGTAGGCCCACCATATTTTTGTGTCTGTGGAGCAAAATTTGTTGTTGCTCGAATATTCAAACCCCTTAAATTAATGGGCCAAGCCTGAATTTCAAGTCTTTTGCTCGTCTTGATTAGTTTATACCTATAAGTTTGGTATGAAGTTTGAATGAGAAATCACAACAAAACACATACAAATATACAATTAGAGAGATATCAAGGATCGTTTTTTGCACGTTTCATTTTGCTAAGATGACATTTGAATTGAAGTAATTACGTTCCCTTCTTTTCTAATTTGACCAAACTACTGAAACCAACTCAATTTTTTTTATCTCGGGCTTGGTTGGATTGTTCAAGTTCACACGTCTATTTAAACTCGTTAACGCTCTTAAATTGAACAATCATTCATTTTGCACTATAATTTTAATTGATTTAATTTTTAAGTGATAAATATATGGAAATGAACATTTAATGTCAAATTTTGACATCAAATTAGTCCTTCAATGTCATTTTGATTGAATTGATGTTAAAATCTGACATAGAAGGACGATATTGAGATTTTTATTATTGGAAGACAAACTTAATGGTGCTTGTAGTTTTAAAGGATGACAATATTATTATTATTTTGGTCATGTTCTCTATTTTCCTTAATGTGTGATTGAGAGTCTTGAGTGTAAGAATTTCTTAGAATAAAAATATCACAAACATTGAAATATATATATATATATATATAAATATATATATATATATATATATATATATATATATGGTTAGGATCATTTTACACCAGTGTAATATATATAATAGATAAAACACCACCTATTACTTATTTTTAAAGATCAATTTACGTATTTGATCGAATCATCTTATTTAGTGAACGGATTTTTTTAATTTGATCTTTAGAATTTTTCTCTCTATAACCTATTTTGAAAATGATAGCCTTTGTGTAATGATAATATTACTGCTTATAGGGATTAATCCTAATATAAACAAGCTACATAAGAAACCTGGCATAATCTAGTTTGATATATTATTTTTGAAAAAAAAAAAAGGCAAAAGATTGCACTCGTTCGAGGAAAAGAGCTATAGAATTAGTTTTTCTTGGCTTTACATTTTTTGCATCCCGACTTGGAAAGATTGCAAGGAAAGGAAAATGTTTATGTGCGCTTCACTTTTTTCTCACTTTATAAGCTTTTCATGTTAATCAATTTTATTAGATAAAGGGTAATAAAATAATTTAATATTTCCTCAATGAAATAAAAAAAAGTTTTTTATATTTACTAAATAATACCGAATTAAGAGATCAACATATTTTATTTTCCTTATCACTATGGCCCCCCAAATCAAAGCTCAAATTCTTGTGAACGTAAAAAAATCACATTTATAAAAGAGTTAACTCTTTCATGATATGAATGTTTTCGGCTCAAACAGAATTAACTCTCACAGAAGATACCTGTAATTTATCCAAAAACAAAACAATCGATACGTACTAGTTCTATAAGCCTATGTATTACTTCTTACTCTTCTTTAAACTATAATTAAAATTGTTTAATTTGAAATTTATTAAATAAAAAAAAATATGAAAACAGATAATATAAGTAAAAAAAAAAATTCTAGTAAGTTAATAAAATTATATAAAAAAACCCAATTTAAATTAAATGAAAAACAGTTTGTAGTGTTTATCAAAAATGAAGAGGGGAAGAAGAAGCCAGATAAACAAATTTGACAAAGATTGAAAATTTGCTTAGAAGTAAGAAGATGACATAGTCTGAGAATTTTTTATTTTGAAAAAAAATGATGTGATTGGTAGGTTGTTTTCTATGAATGGAAAAGTACAAGGCATAAAAAAAGATTCGTAAGTTGTCTAATTTTAGTACACAGTGAAAAAAAAAAGATTTATAATCTCTCTTTTTCTCAAGACATAAAACAGTAGCTGTAACATGATTTAAAAAGGGTGGGAAAAAAAAAGTAGCTGTAATTAAAAGATGTCTAATTATAGTATAAGGTTGAAAATAGATTACAACTCTGTATTTGTAAAAATATATACTGTTATGGTCTCTACTTTTAAAAAGGATGTTCTGTCTCAAGTACATACTGAAATAAGTTACAACCTATTTTAATTATTAATGTGACTGTATGCTGATGTTTAAAATTTAGTCTATCTTTGTCTGTTACAGTTCAACATGGAAGCATTTGACCAAATACTTCATCATGGTCAAAACTTGGGGAACTTATGATACCTATATAGCTATTGAGTCATCTTTCTTCCTATCACTTTCTCTCCATTCAATTTTTATTCTCATATCTCTCTTCCGTTCCTCTATCTGGGAACTTGGCATTGTGGGCAAAAATGAATTTAATAGCAAATGAGTCTATATTCGGGTCAGTTACACAAATCAATGAAACCCTATACACAGTTTGTTCTGCTGCTCCACCCAATATTGTTTCAGATGGCTTATGGGGTGGCCAAATTAATGGCAGGGTCCCAATGAAGTCTTCGTTCCCCTTATTTGAATTGCAAATGCTTGTAATTTTTGCTGTCACCCAAATCTGCCAATTCTTCCTAAAGTATTTGAACTTCCCTCTATTTATTTCACAAATGATGGTAAGTACTTTCCTTTTTATATTATATCCTGTTTGAACCAAAGCCTATATAAATTATAAATTTCTTGTTCGTATTGTTACTAAATGTTTTCCACAAAAGTAGAGAACAAACTAAAGTCAAATTTAAATTTAAAGAAGGATCATGGTAAACATGTAAAAGGGTTTTTCGTCCTTATCATTTGTTAGGACCATTTACAAGGTATGGGACTTGGAGTCTAACATTGATAATGTATAAACAATTAATGTGAAGTTTATAAGAACTTGGGTACTCTCATCTTTTGAGCTAATTTTTAGAGTAATGCATCTCAAGGTTCTTATCAAATGATACGAAAGCCCAGGACTGCAGAGCAAGGGGGAATATTAGGACCTATTTGTAACGTATGGGACTTGGAGTCCCACATTAGTTATATAGGCAATTAATGTGAGGTTTATAAAACCTTGAACACTCTCACTCTTTAAGCTAACTTTTGGGGCGGTGCATATCAAGATTCTTATCATCATATGACAAAAGTAACATGATATATTATAAGGGGTTTGCATCTATCATGTCACATGACACAAAAAAGTACGAATCTCTATAACATTACACAATCACTTTTTGCTACCACATAACTCTTATAAAACTCATATTATGATGTTATTATTATAATAAAGTACTAGTGCCATGCCCTCTTAAAGTTATGGGAAAATGGTATGCATTTGCAGGCTGGGCTAATTCTGGGGCCTTCTATTCAGCACGAGACACTGGACAAATACAAGAAGATGTTGTTTCCGTTTGGAAGTCAAGACACACTTGCAACAATAACATCAATTGGTTATGCACTTTTCCATTTTACAAACGCTGTACAAATGGATATGTCCATGATAACCAAGACAGGACGCAGGGCATGGAGCGTTGCAATCATTGGATTTTTGGCACCGTTAATTGTTTGTTTTCCAATTGCAGAAAAAATGATTCCATACTTAAGGGATCAAATTGGAGAACAAGCCGTGGATGTTCCTGTTGTTGTGGTAGCACATACTGGAGTTAAGTTTGCAGTCATTGCTTCTCTCCTCAACGAACTTAAAATCTTAAACTCTGGAATTGGGAGATTGGCATTATCCTCTGCATTGGTGACTGACATATTGAGCATAATTATGGGAATTATTAGCACTCTCATAGTGAAGAAAGCTGGACCAATAGAAATATTAGTACAGGTGATGCCAGTGATTGCATTCTGTATCATTGTTCCATTAGTTTGTAGGCCAGCAATGTTTTGGATCATAAAAAATACTCCAGAAGGAAGACCTGTGGCTGATGGTTACATATATGTTATCATCATAATGGTCTTTGCTTTAGGTTGGGTTGCAGTTCAAATAAATCAAGGTTTCGAATTAGCAGCTTTTCTCTTGGGGTTGGCTGTGCCAGAAGGACCTCCATTAGGATCTGCATTGGTTAAGAAGCTTCAATTCTTTGGTACAAGTTTGTTTCTGCCAATATTTGTGACTTGCGGTGTGTTGAAGGCAGATTTTTCCTTGGTGTATTCATCAAAATCAATAATGATTATTGGTTTCTTCATTGCTCTTACCTACCTCATCAAAATAATAGCATGTGTTTTACCTGCCCTATACAGCAAGATGCCCTTGAAAGATGCCTTGGCTCTTGGCTTCATTATGAGCAGCAAAGGCGTGGTGGAAGTTGGCATCTTCAGTAGCATGTATGACGAAAAGGTACTATATATACTTTCATTTTCAATAGTTCTTATAATCATTATAATATAGGTTTAATGTCTCTCATGTTGTAGGAGATAAAACACATAAAAGTTTGTGATACTCATATTTTCTTTTTATCTCTCTTCTCTTCACATGACCCCAATGAGCTCCACATACTTTTATGTGTGTATAGAAAATAATTTTATCTTCTACAACATGAAAAACATTAAACCCTTATGATATATATGCAAAATAAAATTCCATTTATACATATATATATATATGCTTGCAGGTTATTAATGGCCAAACTTATGGAATGATGATAATCATCATAATGATCATAGGCATCATAGTGAAATGGTCTGTGAAATGTTTGTACGATCCATCAAGAAAATATGCTGGCTACCGAAAAAGGAATATCACGAGTTTAAAACCGGACTCAGAGCTGAGAATACTTGCTTGTGTTCATAAAAACTTTCATATAAATGCTATAAGAGATGCTCTTGACATTTGTTGTCCAACAACAGAATACCCTATAATTGTGGATGCATTGCATCTGATAGAGCTAATTGGAAGGACTTCTCCCATTTTCATTTCCCATCGTAATCAAAAAAATATTTCAGATTCCCAAAGGTCTTACTCAGATGATCTCATTCTTGCTTTTAACCTCTACGAACATGACAATATAGGTGCAGTAACTGCACACACTTACACAGCCATATCTCCACCAACCTTGATGTCTGAAGATGTTTGTCAGCTTGCATTGGACAAAGTTGCATCCCTTATAATTCTTCCATTCCATCAAAGATGGTCTAAAGATGGTGGTATTGAATCTGATGACAAGAACATAAGGTCCTTAAATTGTAAGGTCATAGAAATGGCTCCATGCTCAGTTGGAATCCTTGTGAGCCGTTCTTCCTTTAACAGTGACTCATATATTCGGTTAGCCATGATATTCTTGGGTGGAAAAGATGACAGAGAGGCTTTGTGCTTAGCCAAACGAGCAATAAGGAACACAAGGATAAACTTAGTTGTGTACCACCTTGCTATTGAAGATTTCTTAATAGACTTGGATTACATAAAAGATACACATGCGCTAGAAGGGATTTCTGGCTTGGAAAGAGTAAGTTATATAAAAGTGATGGTAAATAATGGACCAGAGACTTCTGCTGCTCTACGTGATATAGCAAATGAACATGACTTTTTCATAGTTGGGAGAAGACATCAATCAGGCTTGACGCAGATAAAAGGACTTTCAGATTGGAGTGAATTTCCAGAGTTAGGTGTCATTGGTGATGTGCTTGCTTCAACAGATTTTCAGAGTCGTGCATGTGTTTTAGTAGTTCAGCATCAAGGCAAAGACTAGTGGGTAGAAATTCTTGTAGCCAAAAGAAGAAGGAAAAAACAAACAGAAAATGTACAAACAATGGTATCTACTCTTTTTTCACCTAAAAAGGAAAATAAAATGAAAAATCATAGACGCTGTTTTTCCTTTGTCATATTATTAGCTACATTTATTTACTTTTTTTGTACAAATTAGCTATTTTTTTTATAGAGTTAAGAGCTACATATTTTTATTCTTAGGAAAATAGTATGTCCTGCACATGAAATTTTTTCTAGATAACTATTCTTTTAAGAAAAATAAGAAGATTTAAATGTTAAATCTACTGTTTTAAAAAAATGTTAGTTTCATGGACATCAAGCTTTAAAGCAAGCAATTTTTCCCCTTATTTTCTTTAAATAAAAACTTATTACAACAGTTGGTGATATCTATCTCAAAATCACATGTTCAAATCATGTAATCAAAATATAAGACTCCCTACTTTGAACCCATACAATGAGTCTAATTCTTCCATTGAACCTGCATGTAGGAAAAGATTTATAACGCCAAGTTTCCCTTCTTTTTACAAGGGAGAGAGATAAAGAGAGAGACCGAACTAATGAAAGTTTATGTTGTGTGGAACTAAGATAACCAACCCTTTTCTAAATTGAAGTCCAAGATTAGGGTGAGTGTAAGATAGAACTTTTGGCGAGCTACCACTTAGTTGTGAAAAATGTGGCTAAGGTACTCGAGTTCACTGCTTATAAGCTTTAATTTCAATTAACATACATAAACAAAAAATTCTTGAGACAATTGTACATCTACATATGACTCTTGTGTTCATCAGAGTTTTTTTTGTTTTTTTGTTTTTGTTTTTATAGAAAGAGTTTCTTTCATTACACTACAACTTTTACCTAACCTTATAATAAGTCTCAATGCTATAAATTAATGTAAGATGAAGACTGAGGTTTCATATTACTCACCAACTGAACCAGTACTTTGAGTTAAAAGAGGAACTCTATTTCTCCCATGTTGTGAATCCACCCTCATTAATAAAATATTTTAAAAATTGAAAAATTTATTTTATTAAAAACCATATGAATTACATTAACTTTGAACAACACCTTTTATCCGGAACTAAAACAGCAACTCCTTCAAATTTTATATAATTTCTAACAAAATCATGTGAGACAGACAGGATATCTTGGTCAGATTCTAAGCTTAATATTAATGGAATCAAATAATTATATTTATTTTTCAAACCATGAAAAAAGAAAAAAGAATCTGTACCGTGCAGTGTAGCACGCCTAGCATGCCCCCAAACCTAGAAAGTTGCTTCAAAGCATTAGCTATCTTGTCCTCTGTTGTATCAATAATACATGTTAGATGAATCTCATTCAGGATATCATCTTTATGATAACCACTTGGATCTCTAAGTAACTCTTAGTCCTCAAGACAGAGCTTCTTTTATTGTACAAAAAGGGAATATTGTTTGTTAGGGTTAGGGTTAGTGGGAGTTTGTTAGAAAAAGGAGGATAAATAGAGAATTGGGAGAGGAATAGAGCTTATCGACACCCCTATAGGTTATTTTGCTGTTTTCTTTGTTATTTTATCCTTCCATTCAATTCTGCAAGTTGCTTCCTCTGTAATTCTATTACCTGCTGATATCTTGCATATTAGATTTCAATACAAACTAGTGAAATTATTTTTATCTTGTTTTATATTTCAGGTGAAAAAAATTAGACACGGAACTTTGCAAATGTCAACCATAAACAAAACAAAAATCTACTATACAGAGTAATTAATATTATGCAAATTAAATATAATTATCTACTCGATGAGTTATGTAAAAAATAAATACGCCATAGTAGACTAGGTTAAAATGACGATGGCTAAAAAAAGAAAAATCCATAGAACTTATTGCTAACTATAACAGCCACTAATAAAATCAAGGTAACAAACAGCCACTAATAAAATCAAGATAACAAACAGACCAAGCAAATATGGAATTAAAAGATTAGCTTGTACCTATAATAAAAAAACGCTATTAATTCAGTGTCATTTTACAGCAATCATTGGAAGGATGAGTTCAACACATACCAAACATGTGATTTCATATGTTTATGCATTACCAGAGACATCCCCTTCTACCATCATATTTATGCCTACGATACAAAATGCAAATGTTTATTAAATAAATTACGCTAATATGTTAACACCCAGAAGTAATGATCTCACGAAAAAAAAATGGGTTATGTTTTTTTTAAAACCCAAAAAACGTTGTCGGAAAGGAGTTTCAAAGCAAATTAACCAAATGGTCACGTATGAGTCATATTTTTTGCTTATACATATGCTAAAAACTTGTAAAAATATAAAGAACCCACGGTGATAAATTTTTAAAAAACAACATACATTTGGGTTTTGTGCAAAAGGAAGAAAAGGCGAAGACTTTTCGTAGTTTTGTGCAAAAGGGGTTTCCCACGATCCCTATTTTTCAAATCTTTCAAAACTTTCATCTTTTGGGTTACCCTTATTCTTCTTATTCCAAATCTCAAATCAGATACATTTTTCTCATTCTCTTACAACTCCAATTTTGATTCTGACTTGAAACATCATCATCATCGTCATAATGGGGTTGAAGGTTTTGCAATTGTCGCAACCAGTGCTTTCTCATTCACCATCTTCATCTCAAACTCTAGCCTCTATGATCTAATCTCATTCATCCAAACCACGAAGTCGCAACAACAACGGTAGAGGAGATGGAGGAGCAGGTTCTCCGGTGGTGTTCAGTTGGTGCACCGCTCGAGCATCTTCCAATCGAAGCAGCTACATCAGATTCTTCACAAATCTCGATCTTTCAACAACTACCCACTTTCCACAAGCAAAATAACCATAAAATTTGGGTACCTATAGATCTGAGTAAAAGGTCTAAAATTTCCGACTTTTGAAGGTTTGGACAAAGAATAAAAATTCTCAACATATAGAGGCTCAAAAAAGATGGTTTGATCTGATAAGAGGTGAAGAGAGGCTTGTCATTCTTCTGCTTCCTTTGAAGCCTTCCTAAGCTTCCAATTAACAAAGTTAATCGACAAAGAAAAAAAAAAAAAGGAAATAATACTCTCACGCCACATGTGATATTTTCATTTTCCTACACAAATTTGTTTTTCATGTCAAATAATTTTTCTTTTCTTTTTTAATATAAAATATGGGACCCACATTTAACTTCTCTCTACTTTTTTTTTCTCCTACAATCCTACAATATAAGAAAAGCTAAACCTTTAAAAAAAAACCTGAGTGATCGATTAAAAAAATTTCGACATTTAATCGATTAAATTTTTTTTGTAATCGATTAAAAAGGACAAATTTGGGTATAATTTTATAACAGGGATAAAATGGTTATTTTTAATTAATAAGAAAGAATAGAATCAAAAAGTCGTAATATTTTAATAAAATATATTTTCAACTACATTTTAGTAATAATTATTCCCCGAATAAATTTTTTTTTACCCTGTATCAAACGCCCCCAAATAACTAATAATCTCCAACATTTGCTCGATAGTTACCGAACAGCATTCTCGACAAAAATTGGCGTCACCGTTACAGAGTGTAATAAAAGGTGTAGAAAAAGAGAGGGAGACAACATCAAAAGAAGTAGAATTGCCCGTGATTATTAGGCCCGTCTCAAATTGGCCCAGGGAAATTTTCAACTGAGTCTTCATTTCTGCCAGGAATTCGACACTCACCAAGAATCTCAAAAGATGGATATTTTTGCCATCTGTCATTTCTTTAATTACCCTAAGATGAGTGATCGTATCAGTTTGGGCAAAAGTTGGTCACGTGTGAGGGGTAAATTCGTCACCCAAATTTACCACTTTTTCACCTCTCCGGATTTCAGCCACAATGCGACCCTCTCATATGCATTCCGCAACAGTGATTTTTCACAATAATCACATGCAAAGGTCGAAAGCTGGGGAACAACGAAGGGTGGAAAAATTTCATTAATCCAGCGAACCAAACGTCGACTTCTGAGAATCCAAGAATCACTTCCCCGTCAAACTTGATCAAACTCTCCAAACAAACGCCCCTCTTGCATATGTTCTGAAAGCTGAAGAAACCCAAAACCCACATCCGACCGAAGAAGACAGAGCGAAGACAGCCACATGCGCAAAGATGGGAGGTCAGGTAATGGTAATGAACGAAGGTTTTGAATGGCTGTCAGAGTGTGACTGAATGCAGGAATATTTGCAAGGTATGATGAATGATGATGAGGATGGCAGTTATGTGGTAGGCCTCGTTGTTTCCCACTTGGTCATGGCCATTTTTTGTACTGCATAGTATGTTGTCTTTACTAACTACAATTGCAGTCAGTCTTGCATTATAATGATTCTGAAAATCCTGATGCCAGGCTATGTGGTAAGTTTGAAATTTTTATACCCATGATGGCAGTTCTTGCTTCATAGTTTTCCTATGTAGAACCTGCTTGTCAAATAAGTTTTTATCATTCGCTATGGGCATGTGTAATGGCCATTCCCATATTATGAATTATGTCAAAATATTCCGTGTGTATTGTTTTTATTACTAATTTGACCTAACATATCAATTCTTTGTAGGCAATAATTTATGCATAGCTCAGAATGAGGAATTGCGTGCCACTCATGCTTGTTTATGTATTCTATGAGCAAATTGACATCTTTATTATGTTCCTTAAGCATGTCTGAAGCTCCTTCCAAGCATGTGGATTCCTTCATGCAGTTTCTGTCACTGGTGGAGTTCAAGGACAAACCACCCTATATTTTGATTCCATTGCAACCTGCTGAGATGCACGAGGCTGAATTTTTAAGTATGTAATTTAATATATCTACTGGTTATCATATGGGTGATTGATTGTATAAGACAATTGTGCTTAAAAGTCATGTTAATCACAGTAAACTAACTGCATGGCCATTTATTAGGTTGAAGACAATGTCACTCAATAACATTAAACACTTTATATTTGATTTATCCACTGAAATAACAATCAACATGAAATAAATAATTATTTCAAATTTGGGCAACAATTAAGATAAAACCTGGTATCATTACTACTTTTAAATATAATGTATGTTTTTATATTATTACTTCAAGTATTAGGTTGCTATATGTGCTATTGGTGTAATAATGACATCTCTGCTTATTAGTTTTCCCTGTCATTTACAGGAATATGGAGATGTTCCACTAGTGTGAAGAGCATGATTTTTTTGCTATTTTGGCAGACATACAAAAAGGAAATGAACATTGGAGATATTGTGAAGGAACTAGGCTATGGGTGCACGATTGATGTCACACAGTGGAAGGAAATATTTTCAGTCTTTTCATTCATTAACTGCTAGTGGCTGGGTTCTTGTCTAGGTCTTTGTGATACTATCTTCAAGTGGCTTTTTGGAAAAAGGGATATGTTGGTAGACTGTGTATATTGTTTTTTTGGTGTAGTTTGGTTTCAAAAAATAGTCTTGTAAATACCATGTTGTGAATAGTACACACATGGCTGTTGGTGAGTCAAATAGAATCTAACATTCACAACTGATTTTTTGTATGTACCTCCATTGTTTATGATATATCTTTTTGGAAATAGACAACAGAATGTCTTATCTGTGAACGATGTAAGTTGTCATAATATTGATGATGGAATTGTAAGTTCTATGTTCTGTCCATCTGTAAGTTCTGATTGTTAAATGTTTGGGTATATTAGCTTATTGATGCAGAATGAGAGTAGAGGTTACTTCAATGTTTATGACTTTCTTTCTGATGCAATTTCTTTTGTATATGTGTGCTCCTGTATTTACTCATTTCGTTTCAAATATATTTTATACACTTAAATCCATATGTAAAACCTGTAATGCTATGGCAGAACTTTTGTCTACAACCCTATGTTGATTACAAGATGATTATTTGAATATTTGGTTGTTACCTTCACCAATAGTCCCTTGTTAGAATTTTGCAGGTTGCGTATATTGTCTTGATGTTATTTGAACATTAGTCAAATTTACCTCTGATTTGATTAAATGATCACTAGACTAACATTCACATGACTGTTAAGTATATATTCCATGCCATTTGGTTGAAGTGATTCATGATTTAAAACTTCTTTTTTCATACTTGCAAACTGCATACTTAATTACTTAGTGGGGTTAAGAGCAAGTACCCAACAATTGATGCAATTACTGCAGTTTCAAATGGTATCAGATTACTCATTGCAATAGCTGTTGTAGGTAGTGAAATTAAGCTTAAGAAAAGGAGAGGTCATTCCTTATTATCGACAATAGGATAAAAAGATAGGTGCCAATGCCAAAGTGGCTATGGCTTGCCTATACATTACAAAAACTGTGGGACTCAACCCATCTAACAGAGCAGCTCTTGTGAAGATGGAGGACCAGAGCACAAACACACACACTGTATGTGTATCGGAGGATTCCAAAATCATGTTTTGGACTTGGTATAATTGTTTATGCATTCCATCTGATTGTTCTATTCTTGTTTCGTAACAATTTTAGTTTCATGCCATTAGTAGGAAATTGCAGTTTTCTCTTTTACGCTGTTAAAACAGTACCATTTTGAGGTAACATTGTTGCTTTGACTCAACCCATAATTGTTATAACTTGTTGCATACATTGTACATCACAAACTGTAACTTTCATATGCCTTTGTCAAATAAAGGCAATTCCAGATGTTCTCTTAATTTTGGGATTAAGGTGCCAAATCTGAAGTAAAAAGAAACAATGATCCCATTTTGAAGGAAACATGCAGAATCTTGAGTTTCAAAGCACGGGAAGCCGAGTACCTATCATGAGAACATAATATTAGTATAGAACATTACATTGGTTAGACTACTCGAGAAAATATTTTTAGTTAGATAAAGATTATGATATTTTATGACTAAACAATAAACATTAGTAAAAATATCATTATGCAGTAATGAGGAAGAAGGCATACCTCTTATTTCAAAAGTAGTACGCTTTGATATTATCCACTCCTTGAGTGCTGAATAATCTGGGTTTTGCTTTCTCCTCCTCGAGTGTAGGTAGTATTTCTTACAAGTGGAACATGCTTCATGACTGTGGGACTCAACCCATCTAACAAAGAAGCTCTGATTCAATGACCCTACACAACACGGTCTCGCGGTGGCCCTTGTGATGGTGGCCGACCGGATTAGCCACCGACGGTGTCCAAAGACAGAGCAAGCGTTCTTTGATATGTACGTTGCCAAATGTCCAACCCACAATCACTCATCTGCTTACTGGTAAAGGTAAAGGGTATCACATGTGATTCATTTTTTTTTAAATATAAGGAGTATTTTGGTAATCTTCGCTCATTTTCCAATCAATATTTTACGTCAAACTAAACAAAGATTTTATAAAATTTACCTAATTTTCTTAGTAAACTTTTTTTCAACCAAACAACTTTTTTTACATTTTCCTATCAAACTCACTTTCCAATCATTTTCCTAACAATTACATTTCCCTAGTATTCTAAAATTTTCTCCTCAACCAAACACCCCCTAAGGAACGTTTGGTACTGGAGATTTTTAAGTTACCAAAAATCGCGATTATCGAGAATATAATAGGTATAAAAAGTATCCAAAAATGTTACGAAAATAGTGTTTGATAGGCAAAAATATTATTGAAAATATTGGTTAAATTTTCTGAAGAACTGTATGGTTGATGACAAAATATTACTGAAAATATGATGAAATTTGAAGAAACTATCCTCATAAAACATAACTTTAAACACGATTTGGATAAAAAAATTAATAAAAACAACAGGCCAAGAAGTGGTCATTGATTTTGTGAACCACACAAAACTTTTCCAACAAATGATAAGGTAAGCTCGTGAGTGTAATTTAGTCTGAGAAATTTGTAAATGATTTGCCAAGAAGTGGGAATTCTAAATTACCATGTAGAACGTGATATTTAGAATTGATAATTGGTAGTGTAATATGAAACACAGGTAACAAATATTTCCAACCAAATTTTCTATTTTCCTTGTACCAAATATGTAGATAAAAAATTCCCACATTCACTTTCGGGCATTTTAAATATAACCATGTACTAAACACTTAGCCCATAATGGACTTAAAAAGAGGCTTGGCCACACCAGTGCTATTTTATATATATAATCAAAATATTCATATATATTTAGTCTCTAATATTGATTTAGTGGTGAAAAATTTGAGTAGATTGTATTAAATTATATGTTTCATTTCTACTAGTATAAAAAAAATCATTTATTTAACAAATTATATTTTTCTAATAAATAGTTTTATTACAATATATATATATATATATATATATATATATTTGAAAATTTTAAGTGTCATTGGTCAACATTTCATAAGCTTTATTCTTTTTTGTCATCAAAAATTAATATTTGACATGAATCTATAATTTAAAATTTAACATGTGCTTTTCTTAATAATTATATTAACTTCATACCTTATTAAAAAAATATTTAACTTCATAAATATTTTCTAGTTTTCCACATTTCTTCCTCTCTTGATTAGACCAGCCAGCTAGCTTACTTACAACGCAGTGTGCGATACTAAAACCCTAACCACTCTTTATCTCTCTGATTTCAATTTTTTGTTCTTTTCTATCTGATTTTCTCCTTCTCACACACACTTGATCCCCATTCTCAAATCTAATTTTTCCCTAGTTCCATTCATTAAACCTCTCTTTTCATTTTCTTCTCTCTGTCTTTTGGTCTTTTAGTTTTTCTGTTTGTTTTCGATTGGTGAAATTTTCTTTCTAGAATTTATTCGGTATTGTGTTTTCTTTTTTTTGTTCGTGTTGATGGATCGATACCAGAAGATGGAGAAGCCAAGAGCAGAAATTTCAATCGATGAAAACGAAATCTTGATTTCAAGGGTTTGAGGCTCTAAAATTGTTTGAAATGTCTCAGACTACGAAATTGATGCCGAATCTGGATCAGCAGACCACGAAGGTGCTCAATCTCACAATGCTTCAGCGAATGGATCCATTCATCGACGAGATTCTCTTCACCGCCGCGCTTGTCTCTTTCTACGACTTCAACATCGAAAGCAACCAATGGGTTCGTTCGTTCTTTCTCATTCTACTCTTCTTTTTACTTCGTTTCACATTCATATCTCATTTTCTGAATTGTTTTATAGTGTCGCAAGGATGTTGAAGGATCTCTCTTTGTTGTCAAGAGGTAATCAACAATACTGTCTCTTCCTCTCTCTCTTGTTTATTTTCTCTATGTTGTCGCTTGTATTCATATAGACTTAGATTGTTAATCAATTTTCTATATGTTGTTGTGTACTGATATTTACCGATTTGTTGTTGGATAAGAAATTGGATTATATTCTCCATATTTTAGTCATCTGTTTCGCTGTGCAGGTCCAGGACATTTGCTTGTTAAAATATTATGCACATAATATAGAAAATTTTCATATAAGTAGTTCCTATTTTAGTTTGATTGTTCGTATTTCTTGCGAGATCAAGGTGTCTATCCTGCTACACGGATAATTTATAAAGTTGCATTAATTGAACTGATTTGTATAAAATTTCAGACGGTGACATGAACACATCAGCTAATAGCAACATTGAGGATACGTCAATACACCAGATCAGTTGTGAGTAAGATTGCAGAAAGGCAGACATTGTCGTCTCTTTTAAACAGGTGATTCTCACTGAAATAGGAATCTCCCATATTTGCTTCTTTTGGTTCTTGTGAGTTTTTGATATTTCTTTTCTCTTCTGGGTTGCTTTTGGGGATGTTGTGTGCTTGCTTGCTTATCTGAAATGTCCTTAAAGAGAGAATACCTGATGCAATCTATACATCGCTATTGGAAATTAAAATAATATACTATTTACTAAATGTTTAAATTTGTTCGCTATTGAGTTATTTTTTTTATTTTATAAATTAATTTGAATGATTAAAATAAATATTGTCTATAAATACATTTGTGGACATACATGTGATCCATAAATTCATGTTTATTTCATGTTACGTGTGACTAATTAATATAAAAAACCTTTAAAATACTAATTTCCTTATTTTAAAAAAATAGAAAGTATCAAAAAAAAAAATTAACTGAATAAAAAATTTCAAACTTTTTTTAAATATTATACGAACAAATCAAACATTATCACGGATTAACAAATAAGTGTAAATTAAAAGTATATGATTTCCATTTAGCTTGTCAACAGAAGGATATGTTTACTTGTTTGTTCGTGTTAAAATATAATTATGGCAACTAGTTGAAAGAGTGTTTGATTTACCTGATTAATTATTATTATCTTAGATCACTTGCAGCTGGACCTTTATATATATATATATATATACTCAAATTTTATAAAATATGTTCTTTTAAGGAGGAGATAGGACTCAAACCTATTATATACAAGTTCAACTTGCAGAAAACTATAAACAACTCCATTTTAATTTAACTATTATTATATTTTCTTTTTTAAGTTGCTTTTGAATAAAGGGATAAGTGTAACATGTCTTGAGCACTATTTTTGGCATGTCTGTCTACATGTGGCAGCAATAGCTAGGTAGTTTGTTGTCTTGCACGATTCCTTGAAATTTGAAACTCGTCACCTGCTTATATCATCCTTTCTTCAAAAGATGCAGTATGTACTCCTACGAACTCATCTACCAAATTTTATCTACTGATTTTGTGAAGAAAGCTGGCAATTAAGATTTCAAGAATTGAAGCAATAGGGGTGCAACAAAACGATGCAATGAATACGTAAAGCACCTGAAGGGATCATGTTTTTTCAATGGGTTGAGGCAATATGAGTGTTGCATTTCTTTTTCTTCAAACATTGAAACCATTATTGCAAGCTTTATTCACAGTACTGGTAAATAGTGTCGTCAAACCCCACCATGCGCTTATTATTCAACGAACCACTTCTCGACTTGTATAATCGAATACCTCCTTGAATAGTGAACATACATGAATTATTTGACCCACTTCCCATCTATCAACACACCGCCTTATGTTCCATTGCTATATATGTATTGGGTTAGAGATTCACAATTTAACTCATGGACCGACTAATAATATTCGGGCTTTGACACTTGCAGTATCAGAGTTCGAATCTATGCCACCAACCCTTTTAAATACTCCTACAAACTTATCTACCAAAAATTATCTGCTGATTCTGTGAAGAAACCTGGCAATTAGGGTTTCAAGAATTGAAGTAATAGGGTCGCAAACCTAGTTGGATGCAATCAATACGTAAAGCACCTGAAGGGATCATGTTTTTTCAGTGGGTTGAGGCAATATGAGTGTTGCATCCCTTTTTCTTTAAACCTTGAAACCCTTATTGCAAGCTTTATTCATAGTACTGGTAAATAATGTCGTCAAACCCCATACCACGCGCCTATTATTCATTGAACCACTTCTTGACATATATAATCGAATACCTCATTCAATAGTGAACATACATGAATTATTCGACCTTCCATCTATTGACACACCGCCTTATGTTGCACTGCTATATATGTATTGAGAGTTTGCAATCCCCCATCCATTACTACAATTGTCATAGCCCGAATATTATTAGTCGGCCAATGAGTTAAATTGCGAATCTCTAACCCCAATCTTCCCAAAAATTACTGCAATACTTGTTGAATTGAAAGTGGTCGAATCTCTGCCACCAACCTTTCAAATACTAGGACGAGCTTATCAACCAAACATTATCTACTTGTTCTGTGAAGAAAGCTGGCAATTAGGATTTCAAGAATTGAAGCAATAGGGGTGCAACACTACTTGGATGCAATGAATACGTAAAGCACCTGAAAGGATCTTGGTTTTTTAGTGGGTTGAGACAATATAAGTGTTGCATCCTTTTTTCTTCAAACTTTGAAACCCTTATTGCAAGCTTTATTTACAGTACTGGTAAATAATGTTGTCAAACCCTATCCCATGCGCCTGTTATTCATCGAACCACTTCTCGACTTGTATAATCGAATACCTTCTTCAATAGTGAACATACATGAATTATTTGACCCATTTCCCATCTATCGACACATTGCCATATCCTGCACTGCTACGTATGCTATTGGAAGTTTGCAATTCTCCCTATGTTACTGCAAGTGTTATAGGCCGAATATTATTAGTCAGTCCACGAGTTAAATTGGGAATCGCTATCCCCAACCTTCCGAAAAATTTCTCCAATACTTTTTCATTTTAAAGCGGTCGAATCTGTGCCACCAACCCTTTAGTTACTCCTACGAACTCATCTAACAAACATTATCTATTGATTCTATGAAGAAAGCTGGCAATGAAGATTTCAAGAATTGAAGTAATAGGGGTGCAACACTACTTGGATGCAATGAATACGTAAAGCACATGAAGGGATCATTTTTATAGTGGGTTGAGGCAATATAAGTGTTGCATCCTTTTTTCTTCAAACTTTGAAACCCTTATTGCAAGCTTTATTCATAATACTGGTAAATAATGTCGTCAAACCCCATACCAAGCGCCTATTATTCATCGAACCACTTCTCGACTGGTATAATCGAATACCTCCTTCAGCAGTGAACATAAATGAATTATTTGACCCATTTCCCATCTATCGACACACCGCCTTATTTTGCATTGCCCAATATGTATTGGAAGTTTGCGATTCCCTCTCAGTTAGTGAAAATGTTATAGCCCTATATTATTAGTCGGTTCACAAGTTAAATTGGGTATCCTTAACCCTAACCTTTCAAAAAAATTCTCCAATACTTGTTCATTTGAAAGCGGTGGAATCTATGCCACCAACCCTTTCAAATATTCCTACGAAATTATCTACCAAAAATAATCTGCTGATTCTGTGAAGAAAGCTGGCAATTAGGGTTTCAAGAATTGAAGTAATAAGGGCGCAACACCAGTTGGATGCAATGAATACGTAAAGCACATGAAGCGATCTTTTTTTTCAGTTGTTTGAGGCAATAAGTGTGTTGCAACTCTCTTTTTTCAAACATTGAAACCCTTATTGCAAGCTTTATTCACAGTACTGGTAAACAATGTCGTCAAACCCCATACCATGCGCCTATTATTCATCGAACCACTTCGCGACTTGTATAATCGCATACCTCATACAATAGTGAACATACATGAAATAATTGACCCATTTCCCATCAATCGAGACATTGCCTTACACTGCACCGCTATATAGGTATTGAGAGTTTGCAATCCCCCTTTGTTACTGCAAGTGTCATAGCCCTAATATTATTAGTCGGTCCAAGAGTTTAATTCAAAATCTCTAACCCCAACCTTTCGAAATATTACACCAATACTTGTTCTTTTGAAAGCGGTGGAATCTATTCCATCAACCATTTATATACTCTTACGAACTCATCAACTAAAAACTATCTACTGATTCTGTGAAGAAAGTTGGCAATTAAGGTTTCAAAAACTGATGCAATATGGTTGCAACACAACATGGATGGAATGGATACGTAAAACACCTGAAGGGATCATGTTTTTTCAGTGGGTTGAGGCAATATGAGTGTTGCATCCCTTTTTCTTTAAACCTTGAAACACTTATTGCAAGCTTTAATCGCAGTACTGGTAAATAATGTCGTCAGACCCCATACGAAGCGCCTATTATTCATCGAACCACTTCTCAACTTGTATAATCGAATACCTCCTTCAACAGTGAACATACATGAATTATTCGACCCATTTTCCATCTATTGACACACCGCCTTATGTTGCACTGCTATATATGTATTGAGAGTTTGCAATACCCACTCCGTTACTACAATTGTCATAGCCCGAATATTATTAGTCGGCCAATGAGTTAAATTGCGAATCTCTAACTCCAATCTTCCCAAAAATTATTGCAATACTTGTTCAATTGAAAGTGGCCGAATCTCTGCCACCAACCTTTCAAATACTAGGATGAGGTCATCAACCAAAGATTATCTACTTGTTCTGTGAAGAAAGCTGGCAATTAGGATTTCAAGAATTGAAGCAATAGGGGTGCAGCACTACTTGGATGCAATGAATACGTAAAGCACCTAAAAGGATCTTGGTTTTTTAGTGGGTTTAGACAATATAAGTGTTGCATCCTTTTTTCTTCAAACTTTGAAACCCTTATTGCAAGCTTTATTTACAGTACTGGTAAATAATGTCGTCAAACTCTACAGCACGCACCTTTTATTCATCGAACCACTTCTCGACTTGTATAATCGAATACCTTCTTCAATAGTGAACTTACATGAATTATTTGACCCATTTCCCATCTATCGACACATTGCCTTATCTTGCACTGCTATGTATGTCTTGGAAGTTTGCAATTCTCCCTCTGTTACTGCAAGTGTTATAGGCCGAATATTATTAGTCAGTCCACGAGTTAAATTGGGAATCGCTATCCCCAACCTTTCGAAAAATTTCTCCAATACTTTTTCATTTTAAAGCGGTCGAATTTGTGCCACCAACCCTTTAGTTACTCCTACGAACTCATCTAACAAACATTATCTATTGATTCTATGAAGAAAGCTGGCAATGAAGATTTCAAGAATTGAAGTAATAGGGGTGCAACACTACTTGGATGCAATGAATACGTAAAGCACCTGAAGGGATCATTTTTATAGTGGGTTGAGGCAATATAAGTGTTGCATCCTTTTTTCTTCAAACTTTGAAACCCTTATTGCAAGCTTTATTTACAGTACTG